ATCGATCACCCCTCTCGATCTGTCTGTCGATTGCTGCATCGGATCGAGTTGTGTTCTTGATTGCCTTATCGATCTGACATCTGGCTCGAGTGATAGCGTCGATTCCAGAGTCGATCTCTAGGCAGAAGCCTTCATCCTTCTTAGCAACCTTCCTAGAATCCAGCAAGTTGATGTACTCCTGAGTCCTCTGATCCACATAGCCAAACTCCCCTGGCTCCTTTGTCAGTGCCAGCTTCAAATGGTCCTCCTGAGCAAGTTCTTCCAGCAACTCATCCGATAAGGCATCCATCGTTTCAATGTAGAAAGCTTGCCCTTCTATAGTCGGCTTCTTCAGAACCTCATTGATATCGAAGTCCAGCCTTATATCCTTTCCCAAGTGCAAGGCAATCTTCCCGTTCTTGACGTCAATGATAGCCCCGGCAGTTGCAAGGAGTGGCCTTCCAAGGATGAGCGGGTCCTTAGGCTCTTCATCCATTTCCAACACGACGAAGTCCGTAGGCACGTTCACACCGCTGATTCGCACCGGTAGATCTTCAAGCAGCCCCACTGGTAGCCTCACACTCCTATCAGCCAGTACCAATGAGATTCTACAGTCTTTGAAACGGGTAAAGCCAAGCTTCTTTGCCACGGAATGAGGCATCAGATTTATGCTTGCTCCGAGATCACAAAGGCAGCTCTCGAACTCCAAAGGACCTAAAGCACAAGGTATAGTGAAGCTTCCACCTCCTTTTGAGCCTAAACACTATTGTGAGAGCTGTGAGGCCTTTGCATTGCATTTTCGATTTTGTCTTGGCAAAAAGTGTTAGGAATAAGGCTGGCAATGATTATCTCTCTTATAGATATCATCTTGCATTTTGAGTTTGATTCTAGGATAGGAGTTTTGGGGTTTAAAAGGGTAGAGTTAGGTGGTTTGAGCTTAATTTTTTTATGTTTTGAAAGAAAAGGAAAAGATTCGAAATGGTAGAAAAGGGGAAACAATCTAGAATTGTGGTTAAATAAAGGGAAGAAAAGCTCTAAGTTCAAAAAGAAGAATTGGCGCCAACAACAATGCTTAGAAGGGTCCAAAAGAGGAAAAATCTGACCAAGAAGCAATCCACCAAAGGTGATGAAGGTGCCAAAACAACAAAGAAGAGCAAGTCCCAACCAAGAAGAAACAGCCACACAAGCAAAAAGAAGAAGTTTCCCCAGCCATGAAGAAGGGTAAAGGGTAGAGTTTAGGAAAGGGTAGACTTAGAGGGTTCACTCTTGGGTTTAGAAATGCTTAGGACTCATCTTTGGAAAATAAGGGTAGAATAGAGCTTTGAATTGCATGCATAAGTGTGCTTTTACTTTTAGCATTTTGCCTAAGATAAAGTCATTTCATTGAGTGATCCTTTATGTTTTTAAAACCCTGTGCTTAAATGAGATCATTCTTATCTCATAACCTTACCCCTTTTCAACCAAATGTCTTCACTTGATTTGCATAAGCATGATTCATGTTATGAACTTAATTGAATGTTAAAGAGTTGATTGATTTGAGAATTTGCCTAAGTTGAGATTTGAGATCATTTTGAAACATGATGAGCATGGCTAGGTTCTTTAAAGTATAGCTGATTATGTTTGCATTCTACAACTAGGCACTTAAGCATTGAAACCATCTATTTACCTTTGCACTTTTGGAATCTGAATGCCCACTTTCAAACCTCACTCTCCCATTTGTTCTTATTTGCTTGAGGACAAGCAAAAGGTAAGTGTGGGGGTGTTGATATCCCTTGTATTTACACCATTTATGGCTGCATTTAGTACATATTTCGGTCCTCTTTTGCATGTTTTCCCTTAGCTTTTGTCCTATTTTCTTCTCCTTTTAGACTTAGGATTGCATTTAGAGTATAGTTTGCATTTTTCTTGCATTTTGGATGTTTTTAGGTGCTTTTGGAGCTAAAAGGAGCTTGGAGGAGCTTTGGGGATGATCCAGGATGCTAGCTGGGCAAAAGGGAGCAAGGAGGATCGAAGCAGAAGATCTCTGCAGAAGTTTTCGGTCAGAGCACGGTGAGTAACGGTCAAGTGTGACCGATACGGAGCAGTGTCGATCACCAGTATCGGTCAAGTGTGATCGACACAAACACAACGGATGGATTTCGGTCTCATGTGTCAATCACTCCAGACCGATAGGGATCCATTTCGGTCACTGAAGATCGACGCGACTGACCGATACTGACCCAACCCGAACCTGTTTTTAATTACAACTATGCCATTACTCTAGGGTTTTCTTCTCTAGGCTATAAATAGCCTCTTTTTCCATATTTTCGACATGTCTTGTCAAAATACTGTTCTTGAGCTATTTCTTTAAGTTTGTAAGATATTTTCTTTGCTTTGTTTAATATAATCAAATATTTGCTTTAATCTTTCTTTAATATCTCTTTTAATCATGATTAGCATCCTTTCCATTTGTGATTTGGTGTTATACATGATTATGAGTGAGTTGTTATCCTAGGGTTTCTAGATGTGGTAGATTAGGGGAATCTAAGGCTTGATTAAGGCTTGTTATGTGCTTCAGTTTATGGGTTCATCTCTATTAATCTGTTATTCATGCTAGATTAGTCTTGATCAAACTTGTCTAAGTTGTTAGCTTTCTCTTATGTCCACCAAGTGTTTGATGAAATGCTGATCATGTTTAATAGAGGATTTGTTGGCCTTAGCTCAAGAGATTGACTGTTTGAGGAGCATTTTGACTTGAATAGAGTTGTTTATTCCTGCTTGCTTGATGTTTTAGCACTAATGAGAGTTAGTTCTTGTTAGAATGTTTAGCAAAGGGTTATTTGCCAAGAGATTGGATCTAACTAGCTTGATTGTGAACTCTATGTCTAGGAATCACCATTGCTTGCTTACTTGCTTGATCAATGTAGTTTGAAACAGCCTTAGTTGATGTCTGAAATTCCCCAAAGTCAATAACCACATCTAGAAACTTGCCTTTCTCTTATTTGAATCTCGGATTTGCTCTGTTTTGCTCTGTTTTTCTTGCTTAGAACTGCTTAGTTTGCTTTTGCTTTCACTTTGTTTGCTGCTTGTTTCACTTAGGTTGCTAGAACTGTTGCTTAGGCAACAAAACCAATTCTCTGCTTGCTTGACTTAGAGATTTTACTCTCAACTCTTCTGTTTTCAACTCTTCCTATTGGATTGACATAAAACTCATACTACACTACAACTGACTAGTACAAGTGTAAGGGTGATTGACAACAAGAGCCTCAAAAACTCTGTATCAGGGATTGTTGATAGGTCTTTGGCACGAAATTAATGTGTTGAATCTTCTAATGATGATGAATGGTTGGTATTAAGTGAGAGATGTGGTCGTTGGTCTTCAAGAATCCTTAAACCAAGATAATTAGTTCTAAGAAAGGAAACTTTCTTCTTGATGAGATCTTCTTGGTTCTGGTTTGATTGAGCTCGGCTATTGACTTGGTCTGGTGGTTTGAATCCTTTGGTATCTTCTGTGGACGTAAGGGAAGGCAAATGATAAGTGGTGATATAAGATATGCTCATGTTTTCCTTAAATGGCTCTGAATATACACATCTAGGTCCATGTGCATATATGAATATCTTGATGGGTTTCTCCTGGTTATTGGCGTGGTTTAATGATTCTGAATGTCTTGAAATGTCTCCTAGTGGCTGAATATTATGGTGAGTTGAATATAATGGCATGTGGTTCCTCCTTTCCTTAAATAACTCTAATGTAGCTCCATTTGGTGGTTTAAGGCAATTTGGTGGTTCTCCTTGGTTAAGTGACGATTTGTATTGAACCAGCTCGTCTTTGGATTGATCAGAAGGCTCCTTTTGATGATCAGAATGATGGCGTTTTGATATATACTCCTTAGCTTCTTCAAATACAGCTACAAATCTCTCCTTCTCCACAGCTACAAGCAAGCTTGGCTCCAGTTTGGTATTTGAATGTCCTCCAACGTCTAAGGGAGATTGGATGGTGCTGATTCTTACATCAAGACCAGTCTAGGTTTTTATATGCAGATTTATTAGTAAAATGTTATTATCCCGACCAAAAAAAAATGCTATTATATTTTAGACAATATCTTTTGATTAAATTTTTTTTGAAGTGAAAAACTATTCTTTTCTTTTACAACGAGAGTTGTTATTTTAATTTATGGTTATAGTTATTGTTTTTCAAATTAAAAACATAAAAATTATGTCTTTCTTTAATTTATTTGATATAGTAGATAAGTCAATAATAATTTAACAAATAATATTTAGTTACTATTCAAATATCAAAAGTAATTAAATATACACATAAATATTATATATTCAAATCTTGAACATTGGTAGAAATACTGAATCATATCAACAATCAAAGGATATAGAAAATCTATATGGCGACTTCATATTTCTACCCAACTATATCATATAATATGTATGATATTTAATTTCTAAAGTAATTTACATAACAATTAAATTATCATATATTTCATTAAAAACTATATTATCAATATTATAGTATAATATTATATAAAACTCATATAAATTTAATTATATTATATTATATGATTTCAGAATTATATCAAATTTAAATAAATAATAATTATTTCATCCTACACATGATGCAGATTATTACATAATAGAATGAGTATATAAAAAGCATGTGTCATTGTGTTAATCTACTAATTGTCAATTAGTTTTATGTTCGATAACTTAATAGAATTATCAAAATATTTTGACTCTCTTATTCTCTTATCTATTTTTCTAATTAAAATATAAAATTATTAATCTAATTAATAAAAACTTAAAAAATACCCAATTTAGTAAGAAAGCTTTTAACATATAAATTTATGAGTGAATTTGTTGAATAATCCAAAAAAAAACTATTTACTCTTTTTGTTTAAGCACATAATGTCGTTTGAAATGAATGAGCCAAAACGATACCGTTTTCCCCAGAAACTGTAAACACAAAAAAGAGAGTTACAGAGCCATAACTGTAGCTGCCGCCATTACAACAAAAATCATCGGAGATCATAGCGATGAACATCGTTGCCTTGAGCAAACGTTTACTCCCTCGTCGATTCTCCGATCGTCGTTCTCTCCACAGAATAAACGATGCCTTCGTGGAAACTGTTTTCTCCGGTCGGAAACCGATCCTCGGATTTTCCGGCAGATCCTTTCACCACCTGCGTAAGGCTGGGAGTTTCGTAGTCCCTCGTGTCTTCTTCGTGTCGTCACGGTTGCGAAATCTATCGACGAATGCGTCTTCTTCGAAGCAACCTGCGTTTCTACGATGGTATTTGAGAAAGCTGGAGTCGCATCCTTTCATAACCAAGAGCATCACTACTTCCCTCATTTATATGGCCGCCGATCTCACTTCTCAGGTGAGATCATTAATTTTGATTTTAGGTTTAATGGTTGGATTATTCGTTGTGAATTTAGGTTTTGTTTCTCCATTTCATCTGCATTAAAGTGTGTAATTAAAACCTTTGCAGTTTTTGGATTTAGGTTTTTTTTTCTCCCCAATTTCACCACTAATTACGAAATGATCATGGGATTTTGTAAAAAAAAATTGAAATTTTTTATCTCTTGCTCTAGGAAGAAAACTCCAATTTCTCATTGTTTCAGACATAGACGGTTGCAAAATCGATTGTGGTATGTTTAGGAAGAAAACTCCAATTTCTCATTGTTTCATTCATAGACGATTGCAAAATTGATTGTGGTATGGTATGTTTGGGATTTAGGTTTTTTTTCCTCCAATTTCATCACTAATTATGAAATGATCATGGGATTTTGTAAAAAAAACTGAGCTTTTAGCTCTTGCTTTAGGAAGAAAACTCCATTTTCTCATTGTTTCATACATAGACGATTGCAAAATTGATTGTGGTATGTTTAGGAAGAAAATTTTCCAAATTTAACAAGAAAAATTCCTCTGAAACTAGATGAAAGTTTAATTAGTGGAAGAAATTTTGATCACCATCTTATGTTTGGTGAGACCCTTTATAAAGTTTCAGAAACCGGCTCTTTGATATGCATTCGAATTTTTCATAAGATATATCATTGTAATAGTTGATAACCATACTCTTTTTCTGCTTGTTTTGCTTTGAGTTAGCACTTAGCACTATCAAAGCTGATGATTTAGTTTTTAGTTTGGTTGATGTCATTGCCTAAGTTACTATACTTCTAATCTTTTGGTCCATTCTGTATTCTAACCAATGTTCTTCGATGTGTGAGACTGAGAATACTAGACAAATTTATCACATTCCAGTCGTTTAATCTTCATAGCAGAAAAGTTTTAGGTGTGTGTGCTTATAAAATTAGAGACCCTTTTGTTCTTGATTTGTTCTGACTCATTAAAATTCTTCAAACAGATGATCACGATGCAGCCATCTGAATCTTTTGACCTGATAAGAACAGCAAGAATGGCTAGCTTTGGTCTGATATTCCTCGGGCCATCACAGCATCTATGGTTCAGTTATCTCTCTAGAATATTGCCAAAGCGCGACGTGTTGACGACCTTTAAGAAGATAATGATGGGACAGGTTCTGTTCGGACCTTGTAGCAACACTGTCTTCTATTCCTATAACGCTGCATTACAAGGTACATATTCATAAGCTCATAGATTGAAGTATGCTTTGTTTCAAATGGATGGTTCTACCTGTAAAATTTATGGTACTCATCATGTGATTGGTTCTTGAACATTGTTGGATCCTTGTTAAGGTGAGAATTCTGATGAAATCTTGGCGAGATTGAAGCGAGATCTTTTGCCAACGTTGAAGAATGGGCTTATGTATTGGCCGGTTTGTGATTTTGTTACATTCAAGTATGTGCCTGTTCATCTACAGGTAAATGAATCAGATATCTATTTTATTACTTTTTTTTCCATTGTTTTGGTTGATTTTGAGAAATTTTTCAACTTCAACTTGAACAAGTGATCTTTTGGTTGCAGCCATTGATGAATAGCTCGTGTGCGTATATATGGACGATATATTTGACTTACATGGCGAACCAGACGAAAGCTGACAGCTGAAGAGTGACAACTACGACTGTTCTTAGCCACGCATGATCGCATTCTCTTTATTCTATTGAATCATGAACCAAACATTTAATAGTAGTACAATTAATTATGTTTTTTCATTTTTTTTTTGGGTGTCTACAATGCAACAAAAGTTTTGCATCTTGATTTAAACATAAATTTCTCTCAGAAAGTAACAAAGTTTCAATTTATTCAATTAGTATACAAAGCAAAACTACTTGTTGAATGTTAAAACATTCTTTGGAAAGGTCTAACTTCACTACAGTGACCTTATGTTGTGAAATCCTTAGAAAAAAAAAACCTTTTCCTTCACTCATTCTCTACTGTAAATAACAAATCCAATCGTTTCACTCACTCCCATGTGTATTGTTGTTACTTGTTATTGACATGAGCAGCAACAGATTGATTTCTTCTGCCCCACCTATGGTTATTCATGATTTGTACACGTCACTCTCATCTTCTAGAAAGGTCCACGATTCTTTCCCTTGATGTCTTATTTTGTGAAATGCTTGTCATTTTTTATGGGCATTGCGCTTTCTCTTGTACTGATACAACACATGCAGATGTTGGGCCTCATATGTAACAAGAAAAAATGAATAGCATACATGAAGGTTTTTTTCATTAATGTATGAATAACGTTGATATACAAAATCCTTAATATTTTATATTTGTAGTGTCTTTAAAATTCTGTTTTTATAGTACTCAACTGTGATTTCTAACCTCACATTAATCTGCTGAAGATAAAAGTTTCAGTTTGTTACCAATCCTAGCATAACCTGTACTGAAATGTGTCCACAATAGAGAATTTTTTTTGGTGTGAGTATATTCTTATGGTGTATTCTTTTATTGCTGATGTGAAATTAAATAAACAAAAATAGTTTAGATAAGTTTGTGTTCACATTTTTAAAGAAATCAATACAGCCGTTAACAAAAAGAATATATTTCTAAATAGCAAGTTAATTTAAAAATAATTAAGTTAGATTTTGTGTGAGGTTAACCACATAATTCAAATTTAAACCGAGCTTAATTAGGCCATGTTTAGGTTCCTTTGCTTACAATCATAAAAACATCCTCTTTCATAGTGACCAAAAAAAAACATATGTGTACTCATCTTTTTGTCTCTTTCGTCATCTTTCTTTAAAGTTTAAAATTTGTGAACACGAGATATTTGCTGAAGAAAATAAAACATTAGATATTTGTTTTTCCTCATTTCTCCAGAGAAAATGAATTAAAAACCATTTTGAAATCTAAAAGCCAGGAGATCTCCACGTGTGAACAATTAAGACCTACCGACAATTTAATATATAATGGTCGAAATCAAAGCCACTCGGCAAAGGGACCCACATTGATTCTCATACGTGGCGCAAATCTAGTAGAGGTTTCTGACATCAGCATGCCGAAAGCATAAAGACGCAATTTAGTTTAATTGTTGGCCTCCTCTCCTTCTTATTCCATCCCATGTTAAGCCTAAAAGTTCACGAAAATTAAGAATATATTATATAAAAATATAAAAAAAATATTACTTTGAAATAAAAAAATCCTCTATTTACTAAGGTCCTGTTCGTTTCTTGATCTAAATATTGTATCTAGATTCAGCATCTAGATACAATTTTCAGATGCAGTATTTAGTATTTAGATATTGTTCGTTTTTAAAACTAGATTTTGCATTTGGATATAGTATTTGAATGCAACATTGTTTGTTTATGTATTTATAAAAAAATCTGAATACAAAATATCTTAAATGACTAAAAAGGTATATTTTCAATTTATTAATTCTATTTACAATTAAAATAATTTATTTATGATAATACAAATTAATAGTTTTTCTAAAAATAAAATTTAACAAAAAAAATATTTTACAATTTTGGCAGAAAAATATCAGTTTTCAGTTTTAGCGGGAAAACTTGGTTTTGCAGTTTTGACTGAAAAACACGATTTGGCAGAAAAACATGATTTTGGCGAAAAAAACTTGATTTTCTGGGTTTGACGGAAAAACTTGATTTTACGGTTTTAATGGAAAAACTCGATTTTACGGTTTTGGCGCAAAAACTCGATTTTCCGGTTTCGACGGAAAAACTTGATTTTACGGTTTTGGCGGGAAAACTCGATTTTTCGGTTTTGGCGGGAAAACTCGATTTTCCGGTTTTGACGGAAAACTTGATTTTACGGTTTTGATGAAAAAACTCGATTTTTCAGTTTTGGCGGGAAAACTCGATTTTCCGGTTTTGGCGGGAAAACTCGATTTTTCGGTTTTGACGGGAAAACTCGATTTTCCGGTTTTGACAGAAAACTTGATTTTCCGGTTTTGACGGAAAAACTTGATTTTCCGGTTTTGGCGGGAAAATTCGATTTTCCGGTTTTGGCGGGAAAACTCGATTTTCCGGTTTTGACAGAAAACTTGATTTTCTGGTTTTGACGAAAAACTTGATTTTTCGGTTTTGGCGGGAAAACTCGATTTTTCGATTGTGACGGAAAAACTTGATTTTACAGTTTTGACGGAAAACATGATTTTACAGTTTTGGCGGGAAAACTCGATTTTCTGGTTTTGGTGGGAAAACTCGATTTTCCGGTTTTGACGAAAAACTTGATTTTACGGTTTTGACGGAAAACTTGATTTTACGGTTTTGACGGGAAAACTCGATTTTCCGGTTATGACGGGAAAACTAGATTTTCTAATTTTTGTACGAAAAACTTGATTTTACGGTTTTGGCGGGAAAACTCGAAAAAGTTGTTTTTTGGTTTTTAGCAGAAAAACTTTATTTTGCGGTTTCGGTAAAAAAAATTCGATTTTGAGGTTTTATCGGGAAAACTCAATTTTACTGATTTGGTGGAAAAATGATTTTTTGTTTTTATTTTACGATTTGACAAAAAAATAATAAATATAAATTTTGTTGCATTATTTCTATCATATTAAAGGATATTTTGGTCTTTTGGTTTTTTGAGATGCAAATGCAGCATCCAGACTCTACTTTTTTCAGCATCTCAAATATCCAGATTTTTGAGATATTTTTGATTTTGCATCCAGATGCACAATCTAGATGTTGGTTTAAAAGTGTTCAAACGAACAATATTTGAGTATTTGCATCCAGATACAGCATCCAGATACAGCATCTGGATACAAAAACGAACAATATTTGAGTATGACATTGTAATTTAATAAAATATGCTGATTTATTTTAATTTTATTAGTTAAAAACATCAATCTAACTTAATTAAATGACATAGAAATAATGATGTGTAATGATAATGTAATTGTGACATGACATTTGCTAACACATGTGAATTATGATATGACAAAAAAAAATTTATGTGTTTAATATATTTTAGTTCAAATAATTATTTTATGAAAACTAAAAATATAAATATTCAATTATTAATATAAATTGTAAACTGTCGTTTTTTATCACATGCACAAAACATATGTTATATTTTTTTATTACATGCACAGATTTATACACGTTAAATTGTATAAAATTATATCTTCATCACATGCATCAACTATATAATCTAAAATAATATTAATTGTTACTAAATAATCCATTTTTGTTGTCCACACAAAACAAAAGCTAAACAAATATACAAAGAGAAGTTAGAGTATACCACGTTTTGTTAACCGAAGTATGATTATCTACTTTTAACAGTCTTCTTGAGATTGCCGTTCCCAATATAATCTAAAACAACATTAATTGTATCATCAAATTGTATAAAAATTATGAGAATTGTCTTCATCACATGCACCAACTATATAATCCAAAGTAACATTAATCTAACAATGTTTAACTAAATAGCCTATTTTTGTTGTCCACACGAAACATAAGCTAAACAAATATACAAAGAGAAGTTTGAATATATTTAAGTTCAAATAATTTTCTGTGTTTAATTTATTTTAGTTCAAATATTTATTTTATACAAAGAAGTCTTCGAGAATTTAGAGGCTAAATAACTGGATAAATTGAGGAAGATTAATTGAAGACGAAGAAGATGATGAAATTTGCAGGTATGTACGCCTGACCCGCAAATCCGCAGCAGGTAACCCGCTCAACCAGCTATCCACGGGTCTGGCCCATTTGGCCTTTTAACATAATAAAATGAGCATTTTGTTATAATGAAATGTTTAATTAAAATTATACCATATTTTGCTATTAGGGCATATAATTTAATCGTCCTACCTAATTTTTATATATTACAAAAAATAAAATATTTATAACGATATGAATATTTATGTAATTAAATTTTTAAAACTGTTTATGTCTTCACATGCGTGCGGGCTAAACTCCTAGTATTTCATAAAAGCTCAAACTTTTGATTCAAATTATAAATTTTAATACTTATTTTTTATTGTACATTAACTTTTAAAATTGAATCTACTTTATAAATTTACAATTATTCAAAACTTTATCACAGATTATATATATTAACAAAATTTTATAAAAATTTAAACTTGACCTATTAGAAACTTAACTATACAAAATAATGCAGAGACGTTCTCTCTCTTCTCTTTCTGACGATTTCTAGGCGACTCTCCCACCGACTCACCGCCTTTCTCACTGCTTTAATTTTCCGATCTTAATTCTACTGTCATCTTAACGGTTTTTCTCTCCCGGAATCTTTGCCGGAATTTCTCTTTCCATTTCCTCCACTTGGGTTTTTTGTCAGCCGTTATAGAGAACGTATGGGAAGCTATGCAGAATCTCAGCCTTGGAGGTGAAATTCAAATTCCGCAACAAATCTCCGCTGATGCCCGTCGAGTTCGTACTAACAGCAATCGATTAAGCTTGCTTGCTCTTGCCCTCCACTCGGCTCATCAAAAACCTTTGGATCTCAAGATTCTGCTTCCTAAGGCCTGGAATTAATGGAGGGTAAAATCACCAGCCGAATCAACAACGATGACACAGTTCAATTCTATTTTAAAGCTGAACATCACCTGATGAATGTCTTGAAACATGGCCCCTGGCACTGTAACAATTGGATGGTAGCTGTCGATCATTGGATTCGCAGGTTTGAGCCAGACTTCCTTCATCAAATTTCTTTTTGGGTTAAAATTCTGAATATTCCAGAGGATTTCCGCTCTGGCGCCATAATTCATGAAGTTGGTGATATATTGGGTTTTATTGACAAAATTCGTATTACTGAAGCCTCGATAGATGCTGATAGTGAAGTCTGAATTCATGTTCATAATAATATCAGTGATCGTTTAATCTTCATCTGCTATATGGAATTTGAACCTGGACAGTCAACAATGATCCGTTTTATTTACAAGAAGCTTCGAAAATTCTGTTTCTGCTGTGGGGTTTTAACACATAGCGACTCTATATGCGACTATGAGGGGGAGGTTTACTATCAACAACACATTGAGGAAAGTGCCTCTGATATCTCTATGCCACTCCAACAGCCTCCTGATGCAGAGCTTCCTCATCCAGACATTGGTCCTTCTCATCCACATCGCTCTTTAGTTCCGGATTATTCAATGGAAGCCTTTAATGATTCTCCCATCCATCCGATTGGTACGATTGTACCTGAAGGAGCCTCTGATGCTACCCAGCCTGCCAATCGTTCCTACCATCATGACCAAGGTGCACGAGATGATACTATGGCTGAAACTGTTGAATCCAACGTTCATATTGAAGACACCTGGAGGCCTCACAGTCCAGGAGAAGCTGATTTTCAGTTTCTAGCACCTCAAGCTCTTGTTGTACCTGGTTCCCCTGTGCATGATGATCAGGATGCCATTAGAGGAATTAAACGTAAGACTTTACAGCTCGACACTGATGATGAAGCTTCTACTAATAGACAGAGAACATGTCCTCACACTCAGAATCCGAATGGTAATCAAGGGGAGGTGGCAACCCCGAAGCCACCACTGCATCAATGAGGATTTTACACTAGAACTGTCAAGGTTTGAGGAACCCCTTGACAGTTCATCATCTTCGGGAGATTCGCCACTCTAAATCTCCCGATGTAATGCTCCTCGTGGAAACTAAAAAGAATGTTTCATGTGTACAAAATGTTTGTTCCTCCCTTTGTTATCCTCATCATTATATATTACCGGCTCAAAGAACAAGTGGTGGTTTAGCTATCTTCTGGGATCATCATGTCCATCTAGATATTTGCAATCCTTCTTTCAATTTTACTGATGTATATATCAGAGGTGGAGTTTCTACTTATTGTCTTAGTTATGTCTACGGCTCTCCTTATAAGAGACTACAGCATGATCTTTGGAGACAAATGCAAAGTCTAGCACCCTTGTATCATGTCACTCCACGTCTAGTCCTCAGAAATTTTAATGATATCAGATCAAACGATGAGAAGCAGGTGGTCCTTCCCGATCTGAATCAAGCTTTGCAGTTTTCTGTAATATGATTGTTGCAAATGATTTACAAGATTTACGTACTATTGGCGGGAGTTATACATGGATGGGTTCTCGTCATTCATATATGGTTAGGACGAAGATTGATCGAGCAATGGCTAACACGCTCTGGACAGATATGTTCCCTACTTCATATACTCAATTACGACAGTGGATGGGGTCTGATCATCGTCCTCTAATGCTTTATACTGATTTAAAGGCTTGGAAAGCTAAGAAGTTTTTCAAATATGATAATCGGTGGTTGTCTAATCCTCAAGTTAAAGAAGTGGTTTCCTCAGAGTGGGAAGAACGGTGTCAACATCTTCCACCAAATCTTTTTGGTCAAGCTATAGCTAATTGCCGTGATGCTTTGGCCAGATGGAAAAGGAGCACTAATCTCAATTCTCGCAAAAATATACAGGAGTTAAAGCAGTCTCTCCATCGAGCGTATAATTCTTCTGTTTTGGATTTTCATCATATATGTTTATTGAAAAAGAAACTAATGATTGCTTACAGGTTAGAAGAAGAATATTGGAAAGCTAAAAGTGGGATGAATTGGCTAAAGGCTGGGGATCGTAAACACTAAGTACTTTCATGCTACAACTAAGCAACACTGTTACATTAACAAAATGGTTGTTTTAGAAGATGATGACGGTAGAATCTATACAGATCAGCATGATATTAAGTGTCATGTTCAGGATTATTTCCATCAGTTATATGTTACACAGCATCCTACGATTGATCAGGAGCTCCTGCAAGGTATTTCTCTTTCTGTTACTCCAGATATGAATACAAAACTTATAGCACCGGTCACTAGGGAAGAAGTTAAGCAGGCTGTATTTAGTATCCCCCCTAAAAATCTTCAGGTCCTGATGGAATGAATGCAGGGTTTTACAGACATCATTGGGATACCATTGCTGAGAGTGTGTACAATTTTGTCAAAAAAAATTTCATTCACGGCTATTTAGATCCAGAGATCAACCATACTCATATTTGCCTTATTCCTAAAAAAGAATCCCCCATTTCTCTAAAAGATTACCGACTTATTAGCTTATCTAATGTTGCTTACAAGATTATCTCTAAGGTACTTGCTAATAGTTTAAAGCCATGCTTGACTGATATTATTTCTGAGAACCAAACTGTGTTTATACCAGGAAGGCTTGTCACAGATAATATTCTTATGGCTCATGAACTTCTTCACTCATTACGTACTAAATGTCTCAAGCATCACTTTATGGCTCTTAAATTGGATATCACTAAGGCTTTTGATAAAGTTGAGTGGATTTTTTTAGATGCAGTTATGGCTCGCCTGGGATTTAGTGAGCAATGGCGGAAATGGATTATGTTGTGTATATCCTCTGTATCCTACTCGGTGCTTGTAAATGGGGAACCCACTAATCGGATCACTCCTCACAGAGGTATACGTCAGGGAGATCCTCTCTCTCCGTATCTCTATCTAATATGTACCGAAGCTCTCTCTGCTTTGCTAACAAAATTGGCTATACAAAAAGAATTTTTAGGATACAGAGCTTCTAGGGGGGTCCGGTAATAACACATCTTCTTTTCGCAGATGATTCCTTACTGTTCTCTGGTGCAACTGTTCGAGATGCCACTACTTTAAGGCGAGCGCTTTCCCTATACGGTCAAGCTTCAGGACAGTTTATTAACTACCAGAAATCGTCTCTCATTTTTAGTAAAGGTATTTCTTTTTCTATTATCACTACTCTTTCGCACTTACTTCAGATACCTAAAGTTGGTGGTTTTGGAAAATATTTAGGAGTACCTGGGTCAATAGGCAGAAGTCGAACTGATACATTTGCATATTTAAAGCAGCGTATTCATCACAAACTTGCTTCCTGGTACTCTAAATTGTTATCGCCTGCTGGCAAGGAAGTTTTAATCAAATCAGTTATCACTGCTATTCCCACATATACCATGAGTTGTTTTCTTTTACCAAGCAAACTTCTTCATCAAATAATGGTAGATATTAGACGCTTTTGGTGGTCTAATAACCCTGATAGAAGGAAAATCTCATGGATCTCCTGGAATAAAATAGTGGAGTCTAAAACTCAAAGAGGTTTAGGATTTTGGGATTTAATAGATTTCAATATTGCTTTACTCGCTAAACAAGGTTTGCGCTTCATGAAGCATCCCACATCATTACTAGCTAGAGTTTTCCAAGCTAAATATTACCCGAACTCCACTTATCTTCTAGCAGTTAATAAACGCGATTCTAGTTATGCTTGGCGGAGTATTATAGCTGTGCAAATATTGTTAAAGTCAGGATTATTATGGACTCTGGGTACTGGAGAAGATCTTAATGTTTGGTATGATCTATGGTTGCCATTGCAGCCGCCAAGACTACCACTGCCTGTACAAACTCGTTATTATCCAAAACTAAAAGTTTTGGATCTCTTCTTTTCAGGTACATTGATTTGGAATGAGAAAAAGCTTTTCAGTCTGTTTACACCCGCAGATGTGCAACATATACTACAAATCAGGTCCTCAATCACCAAAGTAAGAGATTCATTCTCTTGGATCCATACCAGTCATGGTTGATATACGGTTAAATCTGGATATTCTATTTTGCGTAGCATTACAAATGAACAACCTTCATCTTCGGTTAATCACAATGTTCATTTGCCTTTGTTTAAAACTCTTTGGCGACTCAATGTTCCTCCAAAACTAAAATTCTTTTGGTGGCGAGTTATTCATAACAGTTTGCCTATTGCTACTCAGCTTTATAAACGAGGTATAACTGTGGATCCCCTTTGTTCTCTTTGCGGCCAGGAAGCTGAAACGCTTAACCATTTTCTCTTCCAATGCAACATCTCAAAGGAGGTATGGCACTTATATGTCTCTACTTTTTCAGGGTGACTTCATATGATGAGTTCCGAGCTTCAGCTTAACTTAGAAATATTATTTCGTTTAATGTCCTCCAAGACAGAGCAAAGTACTTTAATTCCGTTTATTGGATGTGAACTTTGAAAAGCTCGAAATCACCTTGTTTTCCAAGATAAACGAAGAAGTATAGTGTCAATTATTCACAAAGCTTTTATGCATCATAAGATGTATAGGAACAACTTATGCAAAATAAAAAAAAAATTACTGTAAATCTTTTAAAGATAAAAGTTTTTTTACTGTAAAAACTTTTAAAGATAAAAAAAAATTATGATATTTTAAAAAAAAAATTAGTGTAAAAGCTTTTAAAGATAAAATAAAAATATGATTTTTATAGGAACAAAACGCACAACTAAAATAAAAAAGGTTCAAATTTACCCAAACAGTATTCAATATTCATATAATATTTTATCTAATTAATAAGAATAAAACAGAGAATACGGCTGATATTTTCGGTAAAATATTTTTAATGAGACCAATTATAAAATTAAAAATACATCTCTCCGTCTATTTAATTGAAGCTATTGCTTGTAACGTCAGTTTTTGGGAGTTGGGTTTGTTGTTCAGTCTCTCTCTCTCTCTTCTCTCTTCTCTCTCTCTCTCTCCTTCTTTTCTCTCTGCTTTCTCAAATGGCCGGCCTGAGATGGAGAGAGTGGTTGAACACGATGTCCTTCCCCACGCGGCGAATCTGGAATCGCTTAACTGTTCGCGTCGGATTCCGCCACAGCGGTAAGCTCCGATCCTCCACCGTCTGAGGATTCTCTCTGTTTCTGTTTTCATCTTTAAGAGAACAGAAAATTCATATTCGAATTCATCAGAGGTTTATTAAATTTAATTAATTTCTTGTGTGATTCTTGAAACTGTCGGTGGAAGATTTTAGCTATGGCAAGAAATAAAATTTGTGCCTTTTAAAATCCATGAAAGTAGCTAAGATCTCTTTGAGTTATCAAGCTCTAAACCCAAAAAAACAAAAACTCACAAGCTGCTTTTTGAAAGCTGGTTTGAATTGGAATTAAAGGTCTTAGAGTGAATCGTGTGGTGTTTCGTTCAATATCAGATTAAAATTCAGATTTTTTTTTTGGGTCTTTTGGTTTTAGTTTAAAATTCAGATTTGGGTCATATGAACTCAGTTTAAATAAAAAATTAATCTTTTTCTTGTTCTTGCTTGACAAATACTGAGTGATGATGGTCTTGTTATGTTGCAGGACTCTTGAGGTTACAAAACGATGTGAGTTCTTGCGAGTACGAAGACATACACATCATGTGGAATCTATTGCATAAGAACGAAGATCCAACACCGACACGTGGCGCACGTATCCAACAACGAATTCAACAAAGGAAGAAAGCTTGTTGGAATCTCTTCGGTTCTTATCTTTGCCAAAGATTCTGATCAGAAATATTCCAAACCATCGTTGTATTTGAGAGAGCCTTGACGGGTCCCTTGCAAGTGTGGTTAGATTTATTGACAAATTTCGCAAAAATAAATAAATTCGAGGTTGTACAGTTTTTAGCTGTTATATTCCATCATATGCCTCAATATGTATTGATGAGTATTTTTTACCACACGAGTGTTGTATATATGAAACAAATGCTTCCTATTGTTTGATTCTACTGGTTTTCTGATTTTGCCATTTAGAATAACGAAAGACAAAAACACAACAGACTTGACTTTCTTAACCTATAGTGAGAAATCAGGCGTTCTCTCTACCTTTTACATTTACTACTTGTTCAAACCATTAAAAATTGTATTGTTTTCATTGTTTTTTTGTTCCTCTTTACATATACTTTAGATATCTTTTTCTTTATCCCTAAAAACTGAAAACCCATCGATCATTTACTTGAAAATATTGCAAAAACATAGGTAAACTTACCGTGATGAATTTTTTTTATTTAACTAATTTTATGTTTTATAATAAGTGTCATTCTAGACTAATTTTTCAGTTTCAAAAGTGTCGTGTTAAAGTATTAAGCAATTTCTTACCATAAACACCTAGTATAAAGTATAAACATAATCAATTCATACTAATGAAACAAATAGAATTTCTAAGTCTCATTTTTTAAGGGACATAATAAACTATTTAGCCAGTTTTTAAAATCGTCTAAAAAGTGTCAAAACGACATTTATATCGAAATGGATGGAGAAACACTTCTTGATAAATATACTGAAAAAATCATTAAAATTTCAAATCAAAGGCTTTTTCAAGGGAAAGGGGTAGTAGTGGTATCCGAATTGGCATTTTTAATGGTTCTCTTTGGAGAGAAAGAACAAGAATCCATAGTCCATTAAACAGATGAAACTTCTCATTTTGTGGCCAATGAAAATCATCATAATTAAAATTAAAAATTTCAATCAATGATTCCATGGAGAAAGATGAAATGTCAGAATCAATTGGTTAGATACTGATGTCCAAACAAAGTGTGCGTTTATCTGTGTTTGTTGGATGTAAGTGTCGGCTGCTTCTGGGCTTATTTAAAAGGCAGTCTTCATAAGAGTAATCAACAAGTATTGTGTGATGATGTAATTGCTTTTTCTCTCTTTTGGGTAGACATTTCACCTAATGACTAATTACGACTGATTGGTTTTATTTAAGTGTAACTAACGCCTTTCAATTCAAGGTCAGACTTACATATTTATTTTCGTGTGATTCTATATTATTTTTATCTTGTCTCAATCTTTTTGGTCAATTTTAATTTGGGTTCTAAAATTAATATTTATATTCAATGCAATTTTTAAATACTCGTAGCGGTAGAGATCATGAGGTTTCCCTTTACCAAAGAAAACAGACCTCGGGATTTCTACATGACTGGGGGTTGGTCTATGACACTTAATGCCCCCTCACAAGAAAGCTTTTACACTATAACTTAGGGATTTGAAACCGAAATATATGGAGTATGTAGTAATAATCTTTAGAATCTACCATTTAAAATGTTTATAACGATCATCCTTAGTTAAATTAATTCATTATAAATTTTTTTTTTTTTGGTATGCAATTCATAGTGAAACTTTACAAGAAAGTTTAGTGATACTTCAAAATAATATCGATAATGATACATAATCAAAAATCTTCAACGATGATGACTAGATAAAAAGCATAAACCAACATCAGTGAAAATAATGGATGTGTTGTCAACTTATTTATGCAACAGGTCGTGAGGAATGAGGATAATTAGATACGTACGCTAGGGATCTCACGTGTAGTGTTTAGAAGTTCTTTTTATATGAATTAACAAACGCTATAATGTGATATGAGTAGATGATGCATATCTCCAACGTACTGCTGATTTAGATACTAACAATGCATGTGGTTGTCACTTATTTTTTATGATAGTCACAACAAAGTTCATATATAATATGACATAATCAGATCATCTCGGACCAAAATCAAATTAATATTCGAAGTATGTGAGAAATCTGGGTATTTTTTTGTCATCTAAAACATGTACAATGACCAGCTATGATTATAATCTCAATAAAGGATCCGATTTCTAGTTGCCCAACCTTAGGATCGGTCAGTCCTTCAACCACTAAACCACAATACATAAGTTATAAACTTTATTCTGAACGCGTTAAGAAAAGCTAGAAGTAAAAGAGTTATATAGTATTAACAATAGCCTGAAAGATTTTAAGTTTCTATTGTGTAATCATAGTTGGTATATTAATCATAGAATCTAGTGCATAACGTTTTTTTGACGACACTGTTTATTGGAAATTTATCGGATATGTCCAAGAAAGTGATTTCATTGGAAATTCCTCAGAAACATTTGTTGGGAAGTAATGAATTTGTCAAAAAAATTTTGAACTTTCCGATGAAATAAGAAAGTTTCTCGACAAATTTCCAACGAGAAAATATTTTCGGTAATATTTTAAAGAAATTCCAATATAGATGTTTTAAAAAGAATATTACATGTTAAACATTAGTAATAACTAACAAAAAAATTGAAAAAGAAATTGTCTATATTACATAAAAAATAATTGACAAGGGAGAGAGATGGTCGTAAGGGAGATATATGTCACAAGTGAGAGGGAAATGGTCGCATGGAGAGGGAGATGGTCGTCTGGGAGTGAAATAGTTGGGAATGAAGAGCGAAGAGTGAAGAATGTTGAAGAGTGAAGAAGGTGAATTGACTGAACAATTAATATAGCAAGAATTTATAAGAAACACAATGGTCAGAATTTTTGAGAAATTTCTATCGTATTTCCCATTTCCAACATGCGGTTTGTCGGAATTTTCTCAGAACCATAACATCAATTCATTTAGAAAAATTATCGTAAATTCAACCAATACAAAAATATTAAGAAAACTTGAAAGTAATAAAAAAGTAGACAGAGTACAACAAATTTCTTTGTTTTTGTCTTTGAATGATACAAAACAGAGAACAACAAATAATAAAATTGACATTTGATAATCTGAAAAATTTAACACAAGCTTACTAGTAAGTTTTCTAAGAAACTTCCAAGAAAAGGTGAGAAGGTTCTTCAAAATCTGTTGTAAAACATTTCACTTTTTCAGAAGTTTCATAGAAACTGTTATAAAATTATTTGAAATACACAAGCTGAAAATTTATTAAATTATTATATAATTATGAAATTGATAATGCATTTTATAACAAAATTCATATATGTCAAATTCGAAATTAAATAAATAAAAAATTTCGAGATGATTTTTAATTTTTTTTTTTATGATTTTTGATAACATTTCCGACAACTTTTTAACAACAACTTATTCATAAAAAGTTTCTGTAACACTCTGACCACCTCTACCGGCGAGTCACCCATCCTTCTGTCGGGCTCGTGGACCCCGCTTTTATCTGATGGTCGGTGTGTTATTTTTTCTGGAGCCCAACCGACTTATTTATTGATCATGCAATCATCACATGATTTTTCTCCGTGTTTTGGACTCACTCACACAGTTTTGGGAATTACTTCCCGAAAGATCACCCATCCTAGTCCTGCTCCAGCTAAAACACGCTTAACTCTGGAGTTCTCTCAGGCCTACTAACCGAAAAGATAAGTACACTTTGATGACATAAGTAGCCAAATCAATCCATTTAAACTTATTCAAATGGGCCAGACCCATGTCGTTACAATTCTCTCCCACTAAACGGGAATTCATCCCCGAATTCTGATCCTGATAGTGTGAGCCTTAACCTCCAAACCCCAAGACAGTCTCCTGAGACAGAACCGGTTTGACTTCCCAAGCTCTGATACCACTTGTAATATCTCGACCGCTCCTATCGGTGAGCACACCCACGTCCTTTCTCGGGCCCGTGGGCCCCACTCCTGTACGACAGCCAACTGACTTATTTACTGATCCTGCAATCACCACATGATATTTTCCCATGTTTTGGCCTCACTCACACGGTTTCAGGAATCACTTCCCGAAAGGTCATCCATGCTAGTCTTACTACAGCTCAAACACGCTTAATCCTGGAATCTCTCAGGCCCACTAACCAAAAAGATAAGTGCACTTTTATAACATAAATAGTCAAATCAATCGATTTAAACTTATTCAAATGGGCTGCCCCTGGTCGTTACAGTTTCCAACGATTATTTGTTAAGAAGATTGTCTTTTACAAATTTTGTTCTAAAAAAACTGTATTTTCTAAAGTTTTCGACGAGTTTGCAATCAAATTTATGCTTTCTCATAATGTAGTTGGAATTATGTAGAAAAATTTCTGAGAACATCTAAAAACGATATGCATTTTTGTAGTGTTTTAAAAATGTGATTTTATTATTTTTTTATATTTATACTATATATTATATTTTTATGTTTTACTTTTTTGATAATTAATGTCGTTATATGCATTGAAATGTTAAAATATAATTAAAAAACATAACATAATTAATTTATTAAACTAGTTTTTTCAGTGTTTATTTTTATTCAACCTATTTTGTCTCACATACATTACGGAAACATGTACGCTTACCAAATTTGGCAAACCTTGAGAAAATTGACTCCCAATAGTTTGGCCATTTGGGAATATTATGGCCAAATTTGGTTTGACAAAAGAAAAAATTCGTTATCATACTTCGTATAGTTACTAATTAATTAGTCTGAAGTAATGAAATGAGTCGTTTGAATTGAAAACTAGAAAAACAAAACGAGTCAAAAATTGGAAGGCAAAAAGCGAGGTACGAGGAGAGATGGCGACAGTTATGCTCTCACAAAACTTGCTTAATTATCTCCTTCCACCTTCCCCACTCTCTCTATTCTCTCGCCGGCGATTTATACTAGACACTAAACACACTACACACTCTTGACTCAAAATTCAATTAAAGCAAACCCTAATTTCGCCGGAAATCTCTCAGAACCGTTGAGAGAATCTTCCCTACACTATACAAATCTCCTTCGCTCACATTTCTTCCTAAGGCGATGTGGATTCCTCAATGTCGGAGATGATCGCTGCGATTTCACCTTCTTTCAACGCCAGAGCGAAGCAGAACAAACCTACGAAGCCACCGTCGGAATCACCGTTCGCCGTTTCTCACCGCCGGCCAAAACCACGAGATGTAGCATCACGATACCTCGATTCCACCATCTCTTTCTCGTCTTCTTCTTTGTTCCAGTCTTCACCGTCATCGACGGCGAAGAGATGTCAATCGCCGAGTGTTACCAGGACGAATCGACCGGCGACTCCATCGGCGGTTAAAAATCGGCCGCAATCGACTGGGAGGAGGCAGTCGGCGGCGTCACCAACACGTCGTGACTCGTTAGATCGACGAGGTAGTGGAGGAGAGGTTTCTACGGCGGAGAGAATGCTGTTGGCTTCTGGGAGAGGCTTGTTCGCGTCGTTTCAGGGGAACGAGAACAGATCGAAGCTAAATTCATCTCCGATTACTCCACGGAGAGGAACACTAGAGAAGAAGAAGACGGCAACAACTAAGAATGCTGTGGCGGCTCAGCAAGAGAAAGCGAAGCTCTCTGAGCAATGGCCTAGGTCTCTGCAGCCTAATTGTCTCAGTAGAAGCCTAGGCTTCACCGATTTAAGGAAGAAAGTGAGCGGATCTTGCAATGGTGTAGCTAGAACTCTGCAGAATTCGGATAAGGTTGATTGTAAGATCTCTAATGGAGTGAGGAAGATCTCTGTAAACAGTCCTGCATCGTCTCCCAAAGGAATTGGCACCACGAGAAGCCAGTTGTTTCCAAGGCGTGAGCAGATTCGACCTGCTTCACCTAACAAGTTTGGTATGGCTCCAGCTTCTTATTCGAGTCCGAGAGGAAGCAGTATTGCTAGAGGAATAAGCCCTTCGAGAGGCGTGATTCATCATCCAAGAGGGATTAGTCCACTTAGAGTGAGAAGCTCGTCGAGTAGTAATACCAATAGCACACCTTTGATTCTGGATTTTGCTTTGGTTGCTAAAAAAGAGAAGATCAGAGACAGAGAGAATGGTGTTGCAGACGATGCTCACTTGTTAAGGATGTTTCACAATAAGTTGCTGCAGTGGAGATTCGCTAATGCAAGAGCAAATGCTGTTATCTCTACACAAAAGATGAGAGCTGAGGTTAGCATTTTAGCAATCCTTTTACATTTTGAACATTCAGTCACTATGAATGAGACAACCCTTGATGGTTTTTGATAACCTTTTAGTTTCAATCTTATGTCCAAGTGATTAGTTTTCAATTAGAGGGTTCGAGTTCTGATACGCACTCCTGTTTTCATTGCAGAGAAGACTGTACAATGCATTCATAAGTATCTCTAAGCTCTATGATTCTGTGAGAGAGAAAAGAATTGAAATGCAGTACCTTAAGCAGAATCTGAAACTGATTTCTATTCTCAATAAGCAAGTAAGTTAAAAACCGCTTCTTTCTATGTATGTTCTGCTTTGGGACCTTTCTTGAAACTGAATCTTTACGTAGCAAGAAACTTATATGTTTGAATCTTTTCATGCGTATAGATGGTATATCTACAAGAATGGTTCGTCATGGACCGTGATTATACGAGTTCTTTAGTAGGAGCTGCTGAAGCGTTGAAAGGAAGCACGTTTTGTCTACCTGTTGATAACGCCGCGATGGTTCGGCTTTTATTTCTCATAATACTATATTAAAAGAGCATATTGTGATGCGTGCTGATGATTCTGTGTTATATGCAACAGGTGAATGTACAAAGTGTTAAAGATGCTATTTGTTCAGCAGTTGATGTTATGCAGGCTATGGCATCTTCCATATGCTTGTTGCTTCCAAAGGTAATATATCAACTTCTATACACATTTAGTCTCTGATTATATAATTAGTGTCTTAGTAAAATCTGGTCTAAAAAATACACTATCAGGTTGTGAAAGTAAGTTGCTTGGCAGCAGAACTTAACCGTGTAAATGTCAAGGAGCAAGGGATGCTTGATGTGTGTAAGAAGCTCCTAAACACAATCTCAGCTTTACAGGTAACTATATCAGTTTCAATTTCAATCTATAAACCGATTTCGATTTAGAGATTTTGGTGATTTATATTTAAATTTGCAGGTAGTAGAATGCAGTTTGAGGACACAGGCTATACAATTACAATGTTAAGCTGTCAAAAGTTGTTATTTTACCAAAACCAAAGTGTAAGTAAGAAAGCTACACGTTAAGGTCAATTTTGGACGTATGAGATCAATCTAATTCAAAATATAGAAAGGCCAATTTCCATTTAACCAGAAGAAACCGGTTGTAATTATTTTTGTTCTATAGATTTTTTTTTAATATGTTTAACTTCAGAAAGAGAGTAACTAAATCAGATCAAAGCCATTGTCCAAATATTTTTACACGTTTCCAAGATTATACTCGAAAGATTTGTATTGGTAAAAGAATCAACAAAACTATAGGAGGAAAATTTTGATTCATACTATTATTGTTCTATAGATTTAATATGTTTAGTTTAGAAACAGAGTATCTGAATATTTACACATTTACTCAAAATAAGATTGCCGATGGTTTAATCACTGGTACAAGTATTTGTTTGGTAAAAGAATCCACAAAAACTAAAGAAGAAAAAGAAGAAATCGAAATTTTGGTATTTACAGATTCCTATAAGAAATCCAATAGACTTACTTGAGCCGTGGCTTCTTCGACGGCGACGGACTCATAACTTCGTCGTCCGGCGAGAATTCCATTATCGGCGAGATGTTTAAGTCGAATCGACGCTACTTCCTTCGTAGTGGCACCGTTTGTGGCCGCCGAGAGCTTGACCGGTAGAGAAAGATTTATGACAGATGTAAGAAATAATTTTTTCTCTTATAATGTGGTCTTTTAAGTCATCAGTTTTCTAATGGATTAATGCTATATTATTAGTATTTGTTGACCCATTTAATTTGTAAATTATGGAGTTAATTCCTAAAAAATCTCTACTTTGATGGATGGTTGAGATCAATCCTAAGAAAGAACTAATGGAGAATTTGGGTCCTCTCTCCACCTATAAATAGATGCATTTGCTCCATTGAAAAGTCATCATCAAGTATTACAACACAAAACTTAAAGATAAAGTTGATAGGCAAGGGGAGAGAAACCTAAAGCTCCTACAATCAGATTTTCCATCTTCCAATTTCATGGCAGGAGATAAATCTGATAAACTTTTTTATGTTTTTATTATTGTGATTATTCAGATGTTTAAAGATCTTAGGATTCATGTTAAATTATGTTTTACATGTGATATCAGAGCAAGTATTATGAACATCTGTTTAATCCATTAAGAATAATAGATTTATAAACTGAATCACTGCAAATTGTTTCCTGAAAATTAGGTTGTTAGAATTTTGGATCCATGTTTAATTTTCGTTCGTGCATAAATCGTGCATTTGGTGTTAAGAATTTTTTTTTTTTCATACTATTATCTGTGCAATTTTCGTGTTTTGCAAATATAGAAATTTTTTAAAAAATCTTTAAAGTGCAATTTTCGGGTTTATGTTAATTTGGATTTTTTCCGCAAATCCTATTAAGTGCAATTTTTGTGAATCAAAAATTATGTTTATCTCAGTTTCTTTTTTTCCTTTCCAAAAATTATGTTTCGTGCATAACCCGTGCGAATTTTTATCATTCTATACGAAATTATGATGCTAAATCGTTCTGTGCATATCTCGTGTAGGATTGTTTTATGTATAATTTGCATGTAAACAATCTTTCCATAATGTTAAAAATCCGTTCTGTGCATTATTAGTACAGTTTTGATTTTGTTTGTGTGCATTAGTTGTACATAATTTTGCATTAATTCTAGATTTGTCCATAAAAACATATTTAAAGCACAGAAACGTTTTGTGCATTTAAAAGTCAAAACCGTTATGTGCATAATTATTACATAATCGTTATTTATATGCTTTAATTATGATAAATTCTGAAAATTAAATTCTGCGCATAATCCGTTCAGAATTTGTTTACATTTTTGTGCATAATTCGTACAGAAAATTGGTTTTATATAACGTGCAAAATTCGGGTTTAGATATCACCACAGTGACTTTGCCCATAAAATTTTGTAAATAATAACCAATAATTAAGAAAAGTTTTTGATATATTCATGTATTAATTAGTTATCCACAGATGGACTATGAACATAATCAAAATCAATAACTTATAAAGTAGTATGTATATGTGTTAAACTAAGTATATACATAGATAACCTAGTTTATATTATTCAATACATTACTCAATAATTTGTAAAGTGTTTTGTATATGTGTTAGACCAAGTATATCTACAGATAACTTAGTTTAAAGTAATTCTGTACAAACACTTAATAACATTTCCTAAATCTATGACTTTATGAAATTTTGATGACTATCCACACGAGCATCATAATTTGTTGTCATATGCATTTGTGTTGATTATGTTATGAAGTCTAATTAAAACTTTCCGTATCTCTTAAATTGCAGTATCTCTTCCCGCTAATTTGTCATCCATGATCTCATCTGTTCCAATGCTCACAGGAACCAACTTCTTAGAATGGAAAGAGAAAGTTGAGTTCACATTGGGAGTATTAGACTTAGATTTGGCATTTCGCCAAAAGGAACCAAATCCTCTAACAGTCGAAAGTACTCCTGAAGAAAAAACTTCTCCATAAAGAGTGGGAGAAAGCAAACAGATTGAGCATCATGTTCTTAAGGATGACAATTGCTAGCAACATCAAAACTTCCCTTCCGGTTGCAGAAAAAGCTAAGGCTTATCTAGCAGCTATAGAAGAACGGTTTAAGACTGCAGACAAATCTCTTGCTGGGAAACTTATGGCAGATCTTACGACCATGAAGCATGATGGCACAAGGTCTATGCATGAACATTGCATTGAAATGACCAACCTTGCGGCTAAGCTGAAGAATTTGGGAATGACTGTGGATGATTCTTTTATCGTCCAATTTATCCTGAATTCTCTACCTCCTTAGTATGCACCATTCCAAATCAATTACAATGCCATCGATGAAAGGTGGACGTCTAATGAATTGGCTAATAAATTGGTGCAAGAGGAGTCTAGGCTTGGTCGTGGAGGTATTAAAGTTGCCCATTTTGTCCAAGGAGCTGGATCTAAAGCTGGGAAAAGGCATCAAGTGAGCCATAAAAGAGCACCACCCATAATGAATGATTTCAATCAAACTAATGAGAAGAAGGCAAAGAAAAAGGACCGATGCAATTTTTGCAAAAAGTCTGGACACTTTCAAAAAGACTGCCATAAAAGAAAGGAATGGTTCGAAAAGAAAGGTAACCCTATGGGTTCAGTAAGCTTTTTCGAATCCAATCTTGCTCATGTTTCTTCTAATACTTGGTGGATTGATAGTGGTGCTAATGTACATGTAACGAATTCCTTGCAGGGATTCCTTACAACCCAGGCCATAAGTCCCAGTGAAAACTACTTATTTATGGGAAACCGAGACAAGGCGCCAGTAGAAGCTATTGGCACTTATCGTCTCATTTTGGATGATGGATTTTGTTTGGATTTATTTCAGACTCTATATGTTCCATCTATTTCCCGTAATTTAGTTTCATTAAGCAAACTTGATTTGGCTGGTTTTAAGTCTACTCAAGGAGATGGTTGTTTTAATTTATTTCTGAACTCTAATAAAGTTGGTTCTGGAAAATTAGTTGATGGTCTTTACATGTTAGTTTTGGCTGATCAACATTTTGAAACACATCTCACTCTGCAAGATAAATGTGGACTTAAGCGTAAAACATGTACAAATGACTCGTATTTCTCGTGGCATAAGAAAATGGGACACATTTCCAGTGAAAGAATTAAAAGATTGGTCAAAGATGGAGTCATTCCAACTCTAGATTTTTCCAATAGTACTGAGTGTATAGATTGCATTAAGGGTAAGCAAACTAAACACACTAAAAGAGGAGCCACAAGAAGTACATAGCTTCTTGAAATCATACATACAGATATTTGTGGACCTTTTGACGTTCCAACTTTTGGAGGCGAAAAATATTTCATTACCTTTATTGATGATTATTCACGTTATTGTTATCTCTATCTATTGCATGACAAATCTCAATCTGTGGATGCTGTACAAGTGTTCATTACTGAAGTTGAGAGGCAATTAGAAAGAAAAGTGAAAATTATTAGGTCAGATAGAGGTGGTGAATTTTATGGCAGATGTGATGAAACAGGACAACATCCTGGTCCTTTTGCCAAACTTCTCCAGAAATTAGGAATTGTTGCTCAATACACAACGCTGGGTTCTCCATGGCAGAATGGTGTAGCTGAAAGGCGTAACCGTACTTATATGGGAATGGTTAGATCCATGATGAGTCATGCTTGCCTATATCCTTGTGGATGGATGCATTACGTACCGCAGTCTATATCTTGAACAGGGTTCCTAGCAAAGCAGTTCCAAAGACTCCTTTTGAACTGTGGAAAGGCTGGAAACCTAGTCTGTCACACCTCCAAGTTTGGGAATGTCCAGCTGAAGCAAGAATTATAATCCACATGAAAAGAAATTAGATTTCAGAATGATCAGTGGTTTCTTTATTGGTTACCTTGAGAAATCAAAAGGATATAGAATTTACTGCCCAAACCACAGTACGAGAATCATAGAAACGGGTAATGCCAGATTTTATGAGAATGGCGAGATTAGTGGGAGTGATAAAGTTCAAGATGTCATCATTCAGGAAATAAGGGTTAATATCCCTTTACCCTTAGCTCCAAATGTTGGGAATCCTTCTATTGTTGAACCTTTTGACAATGAGGAAAACCCAGTGAATGATGATCATCCACTCCATAATGATAACATCGTCAATAATGATTTTGAAGCACAAGAGGAACCAGCATTAAGAAGATCAACTCGTGAGAGAAGATCTGTTATTTCTGATGACTATGTGCTTTATTTAGTAGAATCTGGAGAAGGGAATATTAAAGACCCGATTTCTTATTCACAAGCCATGAAAGATGTTAATTCTGATAAATGGATTGGTGCCACTGAAGATGAAATAGACTCAATGGCTAAGAACAGAGTTTGGAACGTTGTTCCATTGCCTGAAGGACACAAAGCAGTTGGGTGTAAGTGGATCTTTAAGACCAAACTTGACTGTAATGGCAATGTTGAACGATATAAAGCCAGACTTGTAGCTAAAGTGTTTAATCAGAAAGAAGGCATCGATTATAGTGATACTTTTTCACCTGTGTCTAGAAAAGACTCATTCAGTACTATCATGGCATTAGTAGCTCAATATGATCTTGAGTTACATCAAATGGATGTGAAAACCGCCTTTCTTAATGGAGACTTAGAAGAAAAAGTCTATATGCGTCAACCTGAAGGCTTCATAATCGAAGGCCAGGAAGACATGGTCTGCAAGTTGAATAAATCAATATATGGACTGAAACAAGTTTCAAGGCAATGGTATCTAAAGTTTGATGAAACCATAACGAAATTCGGTTTCACAGAAAACATGGTAGATCCATGCATTTACCTCAAGTTTAGTGGGAGTAAGTTCATATTTTTGGTACTGTATGTTGATGACATCTTATTGGCCAGCAGTGACCTTGGTCTATTATATGAGACTAAGAGTTACCTTTCTAAGAACTTTGATATAAAAGATATGGGTGAGGCATCCTATGTGATAGGAATTGAAATATTCCGTGATAGATCACTTGGAATTTTAGGTTTGTCTCAGAAAGCATATATTGATAAAGTTCTTGAGCGCTTTGGCATGCTTACGTGTTCTTCTAGCATTGTTCCTATGCATAAAGGTGACAAGCTTAATCTTAAGCAATATCCGCAGAATGAAATGGAACGGAATGAAATGCAAAAGTACCCTTATGCATCTCTTGTGGGAAGTTTGATGTATGCTCAGGTTTGTACAAGGCCTGATATTAGCCACGCAGTTGGCATGCTGGGTAGATTTCAGAGTAACCCAGGACTCGCTCATTGGCAAGCTGCAAATAAAGTTTTGAGATACCTAAAGAGGACAAGAAATCACATGCTGACATATAGAAAATTAACACATCCACAGATGGTTGGATTTTCAGACTCAGATTTTGGTGGATGCCATGACTCTAGACACTGCACTCTTGGCTATGTGTATCTCCTTGGTGGAGGTGCTATCTCATGGAAAAGCCAAAAGTCTCAGCTGATTTACACATCCACTATGGAAGCTGAGTATGTAGCATGTTATGAGGCTTCAATTCAGGGAACATGGTTGCAGAATTTCGTGTCTAAGTTTGAGGCTTTGAACTTTGTTGACAAGCCTTTAACTCTTTACTGTGACAATCAAGCTGCAATCTTCTTCTCTAAGCATGATAGGATATCTAAAGGGGCCAAGCATATGGACCTTAAATATCTATCACTAAAGCAAGATGTCAAAAGAGGAAAGTTTGTCATTGAACATATAAGCACTGAGCTTATGGTTGCATACATATTTACAAAAGCTCTACCTCCAAAGACTTTTATGAAGCATGCTGAAAGTATGGATCTTGAGGATAGTTCTTAATTATGTTATTTGTTTATGTCTCGCTTATTTATGACATTTATTTGAGCTCATTTATGACTTTTACATCTTTTATTTATTCTGTTTCCAATGTGCACACACATTATTGTTTATTGGATTTATGATAACAGAATGCGTCTTTATTTAAAGACATAAAAGAGACCATTATGATAACTCCACTTATGTTTATGGTCTAGCTATGAAGGTAGTCAATGTAGTAGTACATGGAAGGGATCATGTTGCAGAATGATGTGTGACTGCCATGACTCTCGTTGATTATTTGATTAGCTAAGACACTTATGATGAACAAATAAAACAAAGTTATAGCATATTATGCCGGTCTTATGAATCCATAAAGGAAAACATTAATAGATGTTACTAACGACCAAGTGGGAGACTGTAAGAAATAATTATTTCTCCTATAATGTGGTCTTTTAAGTCATCAGTTTTCTAATAGAGTAATGCTATATCATTAGTATTTGTTGACCCATTTAATTTGGAAATCATGGAGTTAATTCCTAAAAGATCTCTACTTTAATGGATGGTTGAGATCAATCCTTTGAAAAAATTAATGGGGAATTTGGATCCTCTCTCCACCTATAAATAGATGCCTTTGCTCCATTGAAAAGTCATCATCAAGTATTACAACATAAAACTTAAAGATAAATTGATAGGCAATGGGAGAGAAACCTAAAGCTTCTACAATCAGATTTTCCATCTTCCAATTCTATGGCAGGAGGTAAATCTGATAAACCTTTTTATGTTTTTATTATTGTGATTATTCAGAGGTTTAAAGAGTTCATATTAAATTATGTTTTACAACAGATCGAGCAGACGTGAGATTTCACGGCAGCGGACGGTGTCATCGATGACTTATCATGATCCCCACTGCTGAGTGGATTCAGGTGACTCGCCTTGTGACCGCCGAGAGCTTGGTAAGACGGAAACGCCTTGTCACAAACGCCGCACTTGTAAATCGTCGGATTCTCCTCCTCTGCCGCCGCAAAAGAATCGCCACCGCCGTCTCGAGCGAGAAGCATGAGGCAGAGAGCGAGATACTCTTCCTCAGTGAGTTGGTGGCGATGATGATCAGATCTGGATCGTTTAGATCGCTTACCTTTAGACCATTGCTCAACGCCATGGAATCCAGTTGAATCCTCGAACAGAGTCGGAACTGAAGAAGCTAACCTCGGTGAATTAAGAGCTTCAAGCGCCATTAATAACGAAAATTAAGAAAACTAATTCGGGAGCGGAGATATTAATAGAAGGTTCTGAGTGTGGAGAGGAAGGAATATTAAAAAGAGAGTTTGCAGAGGAAGTTGCGTGGAGAGGAAAGAGGTGAGAGTGAGAGTGGGTGGCCAAATTGAGAAAACGATAAATGTGCGGAGCAAGTTGTGTAAGTTGTAACGAAAGTAATGGAATGTATATAAAATGTTAATTTAAATTTGGTGAGTGGGGAATATTTGGCACGTTTTGACGTTTTGTGGTGAGATAAAGACACACAAGTCGGCGGCTCTCAGCCTCTCAACTCCTTTTGTTTTTGTTATTAGTTGAGAGTTGACATTTGAATCCAACTAATCCGCTAGTGATTTGTTTCTTAAAGTTTAATTCGGAAGAATCAAGTTAAATTCAAGAGAGTAATAGTTTACCTCTGTACTTTAAAAAATATTAATAGGAGAAAAAAACAATTTTCTCTGAAATTTACTAGTGTAGTGGAAAATATTTTCTGCCATTTTTTTGGTTGCGTAATGTTGAATAAAAAAAACATGCATATTTTTGTGTTTCTTTTGATTATCTATTTTTTTTCTTTCGATAACTTCCAACTTTTAGAATAACTAGTGGGTTGTCCGCGCTACGCGTAGGTTTTGTGTGTAATTTTTGTGTTAGTTAATTTGTATTTTGTTAGATAATAATATTATTTTAGGTAGTGTATATTATTTTGGATCAGTAAAAAACAATGTGTGTCCATGTTTCTGTTGTGCTAATTTAATTTGGTTTATGAATATTGTATGTATCTTTTTTATTTGTTGACAGCGAATATCAGATATGGAATTTATTTTTTTATAAACGTCTAATGTGTTATTAAATTATTATAATCTTTATCTTGTTTTAATATAATATTATATGGCTAATATTTTAAAAAAGAAATTCAATTGTATAACATATAAATTTTTATTATTGGCTTCATTTTCTGTGGCTGCTGGTTGCGTTCTTCTTTTCTGCAGGTGTAATGATTTAATATGTGAAGAGTGTTATCAGTTACTAAGCTTACTAAGCTTGTGATATTAGTTAACCACTGTAGTTTTCTTTATCATCATAAGTTTTAGTGTTTTGTCTGCAATATGCGGAATTGCAAGTGAAAGTTTTTTTTAAAAATTTGTTATTAATGATGTGGTTGTTTCGGTTTGGGTAGATAATACTGTCTGCCTTGGCATTCTTTTTTTTGGTAATTGTATTTATCTAAAGGTTTTTTATTTATTTTGGATAGTAAGAAGTTGTTACTTAATTTTGTAAAACGTTAAATATGTCGAAAGTTGGTAACTGAGATGAGTATTTTCGGGTATCAATTCTATATGAAATAGTACATACTAACCTCCAAGTCTTTTAGGGTTGACTGTTGTGACCAGAAGCACGACAGGCTGGTCTTACTTGCTTGGAATTTTTTCCTGAACTCTGCAGCTGCATTATCCCAAAGGTAGACATTGACAATTGGGCCGCTGCGTTATACAAAAAGGCAGTTTGTTTAGTTGTTTATTAAGGAAGGAGTTTGAGTAACACAGAGTTGAGAATTGTTCACTCTCTAGGTTGGAGGTGGACCGAGACTCGTTCTTTCGATTGTACGTCCATGACGGGGGGCTCGTGGAGGCTCTGGCCGTTGATGAGTTTGAGGTGGCCAATGACATCTGTTATTTTTGTCAGATTAATCAGATTTTGAGTAATAGTAAATGGGATCTGTTAGATGAAGGCAATACCGTATAAATCTCCTCTCATATCTGCTTTGGCCTCAAAGTCCTTGAATGATTGAAACTTGAAGCTTTGGGCGTCTATGGAGTAGGCGTCTTGGGAGAGTTCAGTTAAGATGGATAGGTCGGTAAAGCAGATTGTGAAGTTGTGGTCTGTAACTCTGTAGATGTGTTTGTTGTTGGTGGCAAAGAAGTTATTGAGCCTGTAGATTGAGTTTCGTTTGAGGATTTCATCGTAGAGGCCCATTCGGTTTGGAGCAATGAACCCTTGTATGACAGTGCCCTGTGGTGTTGTGATTTAGTTAGACAGTGATGGTTTTTTAGGAAGAATTTATAGTATGAAGTAAGAAAGAATCACGTACTTGTTCATCGATGAGAAGCAGCTCCAGGCCCATCAGTAAGCCACCTTTTGTTGGGTTTCTTGCCTCCCAGAAATGTATGACTCTGAAAACCAGTTCCTCCTTGCGTAAACCAGATTCAATCTCATTGAAAAAAATGTGGTTGCGAACTTCATTTTGAGAGTTTGAGCGGCTCGACGACATGGCTGGCGTATGATAGGTGGTGTGGCTGTGAGATGAGATATGGAAATTGTGCACAGTTATGGTGTTTATATAGGAATTTCGCCGGAGACTCCATCGGTGAAGTTATTATTAGGAATTAGTGTTTCAGATTCCACATAGTGGATATTTATGTTAGAGATCGTGGAGAGGTATTATGTTTGTCGAAGAAAGGTGTAAATGTAAGGGTAAGTCGAGAGGTGTGGTGGTAACCCGAGGAGTTCGTTGTTTCTTATAGGTAAAAATTGGGGCAGATAGGAATTGAATCGTTTTGGTGGTTACTTGTGATTTGGGGGGTTTTCCTTAGGTTTTTCCTGGTGGACAGCAATGAATTTAGGGGATGTGGAGAAGAAGGTCACGTGAGCTGTGTTTTGAATTGGGCTGTAAAATTTGTGAATATTGTGTTGGGCTTTAATGGCCGGTTTAGTTGTTGGGTAATGAGGTGTGTTAACGGGGATAAATGTTTTGGTTTCGATTCATCAAAGAAACTCCAGTTTAGCCTCTTCGCCGGCAGCGGTTGAAATGATTACGATTCGTGTTCTTCTGATTTGTAATATTGATTATTTAGAATTAAAATATTAATAATTCAAATAATTATTATAAATAATATAGTTATGATTGTATTTTTATAATTTGTTTTTGAAAATTTAAAAGTGTATAAATTTTTTAAAATATTGAAAATATATACTTTTAAATATTGTAAACCTTAAATAATAGACATAAATGTATTATTTAATAAATTTTAACAAACGATTTTGCCATATTTTGTCAATTTGATATTTTTTGACAATTTGTTTTTAATAAAATTGATTATCATTATTGCTTAAAAACGACGACGTTTCAGGTATTTTCGTTTATTTCTGTACTTGGTAAAATGTTTGCCGGAATGCGAGGAAAGATGCGGAGGCGCTGGCCTTGAGCATAACGACTGGCTTTTCTTCAAAGGTCAGAGCATTCACAAGACTCAATCGCTTGTCTAATTTAAATGTATATTTATAATCGAACTGTCTCTATGTTAACAAATCCTGAAATTCGAGATTTTTTTGTATGAACAATCTGTGTATATTCCTACTCTGATCCTTTCATTTCTTTTGAAATCTCTCTACTCTTGTAGTCGACGTAGTAGACCCGGAACCGGACCGTGTATCCCGAGTTCCACTCCCAATTGTCTAGCAACGACCACATGAAGTACTCTCTCACATCGCAACCATCGTCCCTTATCGCAGATGTTAAGTTGGAGAGGTAATCTCTGTGGTACCTGATCCTCTTGTCGTCTTCTAATGCCTTCTCCATGTCTATGAACGGGTTGTTCTTCTCATCCATACCTATATTGACCTCTCGATGCTCTTTTTAAAAATTTATCTGATCACAATTTGGGGGATTTGAGAGAGAGAGAGAGAGAGAGAGAGAGAGAGAGAGAGAGAGAGAGAGAGAGAGAGAGAGAGAGAGAGAGAGAGAGAGAGAGAGAGAGAGAGAGAGAGAGAGAGAGAAAGAGAGAGAGACGATTCCGAAAGAGGAGACGAGAGAGACGATGTTTCAATTTTTATTAAAAAACAAATTAAACAATTATGAAAAACTATAATTTGTCATTCGTTATACTTAAGAAAATCCAGTTGAACTTAATAAAATCCAGTTAAACCGTAAAACTCACTCAGTCGGACACGTATTTCAGTTGTACCTTATTACTTGTGTCATTGGTTATACTTAATTAAATCCAGTTGAACTTAATAAAATCCAGTTGAACCAGAGAACTCACTCAGTTGAACCATGTATTTCAGTTGTACCTCATTACTTGTGTAATTCGTTGTACTTAATTAAATCCAGTTGAACTTAATAAAACCCAGTTGAACCATAAAATTCACTCAGTTGAATCATATATTTCAGTTGGACCTTATTACTTGTGTCATCCGTTGTACTTAATAAAATCTAATTAAACTTAATAAAACTCAGTTAACCAGTAAAACTCACTCAGTCAAACCATATATTGCAGTTGTACCTCACAAACATTATATTTTTCATAGTTCTCACAAAAATTCGGATCAAATTCTTAAATGTTTACCTGAACCAGCATGGTTGAATGTTTACGGTCTTTGATGCACAACGTCTCACGGAATTTGGATGCTTGGTCGTCCCATATAATAAGCCGCACAATGGTGTTCCTGCATATTCTAATATATTAAAAGTGTGGTTTAGAAATAGGTATTTTGTGAGATGCTAAAGAAGTACCTGCTAAGCTGTAAGCCTACCAAAATTTTGGTGTTGTACTGGGAATTTCTAAGATCTGTTCCTTGTATAATACGGATCTTGCCAATCACATCTTCGTGAAAATGTTTGAAAGAATATAAGTGAAGTTGTTGTAAAGTTGTCATTAACTGAATATCATTGTATGTATATTTACCTGGTAACTCTGATTTTGTGCCTGTTAACAGTAGCAGCTCTTTATATTTTTTGATCCAGAAATTGTTGATAGGTATCTGAGGTATTTTCTTGTCCACCACGACAATTGTAGTTTCTCTTGTCACTTGAATGATGTATTTGTGAGGGGTGAGTTTATACCTCCGATTATTCTGACGAACTTGAAATTGTGAAACCTCATATATTTGGCCTTCCATAACCTTTTTGTGCTGCTCCGCTATTGAGGAATGCATGTTGCTCTCGATTAATGTGCCCTGTTTTGAACATGAGGTGTTAATAGCGAATCAGAGAATAATGTAAAAAAGTTATAGATTAGGTTGCAATACTTTTGCATCTAAGAGAAGGATGATGGTCCCTAATTTCTCATCTTTCTTTGTGTGATTGTATGTCTCCATGATACGACTAACCCGAACGATGAGTGTGAGGTTGGAAGGTCCAATATTCAAGTCTGTGAAATCTGAGTACTTTTTACATATAGATATTTGGCCTATTCCTGTGGTGAAAAACGTGTGGACAAATCATGTTAGTAAAATTTATGGATTCAGTTTTCATTATATCTCAGATGAAGAAAAGTTGTTTACCTTGTTCATCATTTTCCTGTAGATTGATTCGTACCTCGTTCTGATTTTGTTTTGGGAACTGCATTTTTTGTAAACAAAATTAACGTTTAGTTGTTTGATATACTTTTGATTTTGTGGATATTTATATTGTATGTTCTGATTTTTAGGTAGACGTATCCTATTTGAGAAATTTATGCAATGTAATTGATACTATTATTGCTGAGTCAAGGTGATTGGATTTGTTAGTGGTTGTAATTATGTTTTGCTGAAAAGTTATGGACAGAGAATATACTTTGGTCGATATGTAGAGATTTGGAATTAAGTTTCCCGTGAAATTGTATGTATCATATTTACATACGGCAATATGAATATCATTGGAGTAAAACCTTTTATTATATTCGATCACAGCATAAGATAGTTTTTAAAGTTCGGTTGCCCTACAGATTGGACAGTTCTTCTTTGTGTACAACCAGGTGATAATACATTGATGGTGGTATATGTGATTACATGCTAATTTGTTGATTTCGCTGACTCCCTTGAATGGTTGTAGGCATATTGTGCATTCCTCAGCTTCCTCTGCCTGATTTGGTATTCTTTTCTGGGCGGCTAAAGTGGCAATGAGAAGGTCTGTGTCGATCCTGGTTCTTGCCTGGAAGTTGCAATCGGTTACAGTGAAGTAGACATCAACAGCTGTATCTCTTTCACTTTCTAGTGAGATTGCTACTGCATTGAGGAAGCGTAGACAGAATTCTGCCATTCTAGTTGCGCCGTTTCTGCCAATTTCGTGGTAAGTAAGAAGGAACTCGATGTTTCTTCTTAAGGTTGAAGGCGTTGGATCCGTTGGCCTACTTCCGAATGGGATTTGTACAACGACATCAGCTTGTTGTATGTGGGGTCTTCTGATAGCGAGGTGGATTTGGCTGGGTGTGTGTGTGTTGAATGGCCTTTTTTCATATGAGAAAGAGTAGGTTAGAGGGTGGGCGTCTCCTATTTTTTTGTGGGGGAATGTGACTCAACTCGGTACTATTTATGGTTTTTGTTTATCATTTGTATGACTTTTCGATTTCTGGGGTATTGAATGTGTTTTAAAGCAGATTTATCATTAATCAGAAGTTGAAAGCACTGGACTGTAACTGCCTTCCGTTGCAGGTGATGAAGGAGGAAGGAGGAGATGAAAGATTTTGTATAGCGTGTGTTTTATAATTGGGTTTTTCCTTTTGTTTGGGCCATTGTGTACCAATGTTAAATAGGGTGAAGCTCATGATGATGTGGTTTTTTGCATTCTTTTTATTGGATGATTATATCTAGGATTTTTTTTGCCTCCGTGGAAGCCGTGAGAGAGCTCAAAACCAATCCTTTTTATATAAAGGAGATTTGAGTAATACCTGACGTGGCATCATTTTAGGCAAAGCTTTTTTGCTGATGTGGATACTCTCTGGAGTCCCAAATAGTCTCTTTTATTTAGTATAGATTTGGTAATAAAAGTTGAGCTAACATAATCTAAATAATTAATGTAGTTATAAGTATTTTGGCTAATTTGTCTATTTTTGTCTTAAGAATGTGTGGGATGTGCGAAATAAAGAAGAATGAAAATTCTTTCATATTTTTTATTTTGTATTCCTCTACTTGGGGTGAAAGCTGCTTATTCCTTTGCTTTAAATACCATCTTCACCCATTTAAAATAGTCTGTAATGAATGCTACTGCAGTCTTTTGGTATGCATGGCTCATATTTATGCATGCAGCTCTATGTATAATAGAAAAATGCTTCGTTGTACATTTTGTGACTCTACTATAAATTCTACGGAGCCATTCTTTTGACAGTATTATTCTAATCCAAAAAACAATAGTTTTTTGGATAATTATTTGGTTTATATATGAAATTTTCGCTTATACATCCTTTAGTTTTCTTTTTATTTGTCTTGTGTCTAAGAAGAAGAAGAAGAAGAAGAAGCAGAAGCAGAAGCAGAAGAAGCAGCAGAGGAAACCCTCCCATCGTGAAGAAGAAGAAGAAGAAGAAGAAGAAGAAGAAGAAGAAGAAGAAGAAGAAGAAGAAGAAGAAGAAGAAGAAGAAGAAGAAGAAGAAGAAGAAGAAGAAGAAGAAGAAGAAGAAGAAGAAGAAGAAGAAGAAGAAGCAGCAGAAGCAGAAGAAACCCTCCCGTCGTCAAGAAGAAGAAGAAGAAGAAGAAGAAGAAGAAGAAGAAGAAGAAGAAGAAGAAGAAGAAGAAGAAGAAGAAGAAGAAGAAGAAGAAGAAGAAGAAGAAGAAGAAGAAGAAGAAGAAGAAGAAGAAGAAGAAGAAGAAGAAGAAGAAGAAGAAGAAGAAGAAGAAGAAGAAGAAGAAGAAGAAGAAGAAGAAGAAGAAGAAGAAGAAGAAGAAGAAGAAGAAGAAGAAGAAGAAGAAGAAGAAGAAGAAGAAGAAGAAGCAGAGGAAACCCTCCCGTCGTCAAGAAGAAGAAGAAGAAGAAGAAGAAGAAGCAGAAGCAGAAGAAGAAGAAGCAGAAGAGGAAGAAGCAGAAGAAGAAGAAGCAGAAGCAGAAGAAGAAGAAGCAGAGGAGGAAGAAGAAGAAGAAGAAGAAGCAGAAGAAGAAGAAGCAGAGGAGGAAGAAGCAGAAGAGGAAGAAGCAGAAGAAGAAGAAGCAGAAGCAGAAGAAGAAGAAGCAGAGGAAGAAGAAGAAGCAGAGGAAACCCTGCAGAAGAGGAAGAAGCAGAAGAAGAAGAAGCAGAAGCAGAAGAAGAAGAAGCAGAGGAAGAAGAAGAAGAAGAAGAAGAAGAAGAAGAAGAAGAAGAAGCAGAAGAAGAAGAAGCAGAGGAGGAAGAAGCAGAAGAGGAAGAAGCAGAAGAAGAAGAAGCAGAAGCAGAAGAAGAAGAAGCAGAGGAAGAAGAAGAAGCAGAGGAAACCCTCCCGTCGTCAAGCAACCTGAGCACCTGAGCACCACCCATCAGGGGCCAACTAGTGGGCTGGGGTGGTGCCTCGAAGATGTGCTCGGACATCATACGTATGGCATGAAGGGCTGTCAAAGATGTCTGTCACCCTTTCATACAGAGTTCGAAGGACTTCTTTGGGCAATGTCTTGCCTTAGAGAGCGGGGGGTCACCTCTGTTAGGATCGCGACAGACTGCTCGGATTTGATCATGATGGTTGGAGAACTAACTGATTGGCCTGCCTTCACCTTGGACTTAGATTACTTGGCGGATATGCGGATGGGTTTCGAGTTTTTTAGTCTATGTTTGATTCTGCGTACTCAAAATGTCCGTGTCGATGCCCTTGCTAAAGAGGGACGAGCACGAGGTACTAATTTTTCCCATGTAAGTCATAATGAACCGGCTTGGTTTGATTCGTTGAGATCATCACCAAATCGGTATACTTTGATTTAATTTATAGAGTTTGTTGACAAAAAAAAAGGTTTGTATTTTTTGGTAAAATGTTAAATTAATGTTTAAAGAAATTGAGTATGCATAAGTGAAGAATGAAAATATGAATGAACCAACCCTTTTCCCGGCAGAAGGGATATGGTATTTATCTAGTTGTCCAGTAGCTTCTTTATGTACCGCTCATCCTCGTATTCCGCTCACTCTTTAGACATTTGATTTGTTATATAACTTTTTTTAATGTATATAATACTAATATTTTACAGTATATTCGCACTTTATTTATATCTACGGTTACATTTATCCATTCATAAAATCTTGAATACACATATATTTGATAAAATGTAACCAGAAAAAGTTGTAAATATAATGAAATTTTCAAAAGTAACATTTCTGTTATATTTTTTGTTTTCTATGTTTTCTGCTGTTTTAAATGAAAAAGGATTGAATCTATCTCCGGACCTGAATGTAAAATCATCCATGTTTCGCGGAAAGAAATTTCCAACTGGATTATAGAATTCCATTGACGATTTAGAATTTATTTTCCCAAAAAGTTAAAAAAAACTTACATTACAAAAACAAGTTCATTGTCACAACACATTTTATACATATCGTGCATTGAGGCTGCCCCAGATATTCTTTCTTTACTCTCTTTGTGACTTTATACATAAAATATGTTTAACATGTACTGAAAAACATGAATCTTCCTAAATATAATATAACATCATCAATGTACTCGTCATGCAATGGGGTGGCATTCCTCTTTGAATCTGTCTAAACTTGGCTTTTATCGACCCCACGAGTTGACTAATCGTATGGTAGGTAGGTTAGGAACATTAAGACTTCGTCAAGATACATTAATGATTGAAGATTAAGAACCTATGATTTTATAATCGAGCATCGAATATTTAAATTCCTTCCTCAAACTTGTTCTCCTCAAGTGTCTCCTATATATGCTGGCACACTGCTATATATAAATGTGGAGGAGATGCACGCATAAGAAAAGAAGAAAAAAATAGAGAATTCAACGTTAGCTATGGAGAATGAAGCGTTTGTAGATGGTGAATTACAGTCTCTTTTGGGGATGTTTAACTTTGATCAATCCTCATCTGACGACTCGAGCTTCTACAATGATCAAAATCATGAGATTGATGTTTTCTCTTCTAATGATTTCTTCCCATTTGCTACAATTCTTCATGGGAATAAATCGGCCGTTCATGATGGTATTAATCACCAAACGAACCTTTATCAGCACTCAATACAAGTAAGTTCAACTCACAAATGCTAATTTTCCTGATTATCTTTTCATTAAATGCTAATTAAACCATTACTGTGTACTACAATGAGCTAACGATAATGGTTAACGCAAAGCAGGAGCTCGTGAAACCAATGAAGAAGCAAAAGTTAAGCCCGGAAAGCAATTTGGTCACCGAGCCTAACACTACTTGGAGAGATGGTCAGAGCATAAGCAGTTTGATCAATAGTTCAGATGATGAGAAATCTTTAGGTTCCAATACCTCAAAAAGCTTTAAAGGCAAAGCAAAACCAAACAAACGGATAGCTAATGATCCTCAGAGCCTATACGCTCGGGTAATTTATAGAACTAAACAAAACTTTTCATTGCTGATTTTAGTCGTTAAGTTTTGTATTATTAAAATGTTTAAGAATGGTGCAGAAACGAAGAGAGAGAATAAACGATAGGCTAAAGACATTGCAGAGCCTAGTTCCGAACGGGACAAAGGTCGATATAAGCACGATGCTTGAAGACGCCGTTCACTACGTGAAGTTCTTGCAGTTGCAAATTAAGGTACATATGATTTTATCTTGCTCAAGTCTTGGTCGTTTCTTGTCATGCAAGAAACATGTAAATCTATTTTCTAGACTCGGTTTATTATAATATTTGTTCTAAACAAAAGCTTTCTTTTTCTTTCTTGTTTTTGGCAATGTAGCTCTTGAGTTCTGATGATCTATGGATGTATGCACCTCTTGCTCACAATGGCCTCAATATGGGATTACATCACAATCTTTTGTCTCGGCTTATGTGAAGATAAAATATCATTGAAGTAACATAACTTAGTTGGTGTTTTGGTTTTTTCTGTTTATGGTATTTTGTTGTTCGAGTTGTTCAGTGTTTCTGTGTCATTTCCATTCTATCAACTTCACAATCCTTTTGTAATTATTATATGCTAAAGTCAATTTGGACTAACAGCATTTTGATTTCATTTTAATTAAGAACTACCAAGACATCTTTTCTTTTTCTTTTTCTTTTTTTCTTATAAAAAAGTATTGTACATAGAATTATAAGAAAATACATGAATATAAGAGGAAAAAGATTAAAACAGAAAAATACATAAAACTATAAGAAAAAACTAGTTTAATGGGATGAGATCACTCATCAATTTTCCACACTATAATAGGTGTTCCACGCCGTATATTTTTCCAAGCATAGTTTGACTTGTGTATAAATGTTGGCAATAAATCTTTACGCTTAGCTAAAAAGATGCAATAATCACCATGGTAGAACAAATCCATTATAGGACCAAAACTACTATCACAAGAAATGATCATGATGTTCCAAGGTTGACGAGCGCAGTGATCAATTGCATAGCCCATCAAAAATGACTCTAAAATAATCTCAGCCGCATGTTTTGCCCCGCCAAGTGCTTGTCCTTCTCGCAATAAGGATGACTAATAGGACACTCATAAAATGTGAACCCTTGTTGCTCAAGGGCTGCTTTATGCAAAGTTGATTCTCCACAAACAAATCTGGTGGTGTGATACAAGCACGGGCCTCACACTCGTCTTATAGGACCTCTGGTTTAAGGCTTCAGCGGATAATATCAAATATAGTTCAATAAGACCGATGAACTCAAGTCAATTGAATGCTATGGACTGATGGAGGTGTTGGTGATGCAACGACTGATGAACTCAAGCTGTTGGGTCAGTGATTCGGACAAGCGGGCAAAGTGACCAGGGGAAACGATGTGTACTACAAAGGCGATGACAAGCCAATGATAAAACACGGATCTCTCTCTAACTTTGGAGGTATCAGTACTGATCTTGACAGAGTTTAGAAAAGACAACACAAGATTTGCTCAGAAATCTTAAATAAAGAAAGTTTTATTTTATTAAAATTAAAAAGTAATCAAATTACAAGTTGCAGTGAAACCTTATATAATGATTCTTTAGCGTAGGAATTAAAAAAATGCAATACTAAATATACTTAAGTGCGCTGAAAGAAAATTACACAAGTTAAAATAAAATCAAGACTAAATGTTCGGCTAATAGAAATCAACGAGAGAAAAAAAATGGGATTAGTATTGATCAAGAATGATTCAATAATTAAAATACTTACCTTCTTTGGTGTGGACGAGTTTGGCTTTGAATGTTCCTCTTCTTGACCATAGACTTTAGTCTTTAAGTGCCCTGCTATTGGATGGAGATAGTGAAAACACTGGGATGGGCTTCACTTGGTAATAAGGGTCAGTTTTCTTTGAGTCTTTATCTTTGGGCTGAGAGCTTGCTCTTTGAGATCTTCAAAGGGTCCGGTCCATGCAGCCGAAGTAATATATTTATCTTGATCCGCTTTGACTATGGCTTGCAATATGGCTTGGTTGTATTCATGTTGTAGGGAACGCTCTTTATCTGGTTATGACTCCTTCGTTTGGAACCGGCATCTCTAGTTCTTGTGAGTCTTGTACTGTGGCTCAGTCAGGTCATGTGGAAAGTTCATAGTGAATATTTACCTATTAGATTGCTGTTGCAATGTAGGGTAACTAATTCATCCACAGGACAGTTACTGTCAATTGGACATGTGTTTAGGTCCCCAAGAAGAATGAGACTTTATTAACTTCGAAGAATTTGTTCTTGGAGGGGGGGGTTCAGATAATGAGAGAAAATGCGCCAAAAAAGCGATTTTTCAACGGCTAAATATGTAGAACATTTCCCATCACTGTCCTTTAAATGCCAAACCAATGCATCATGGCATGGAGATGACGAATTCTTTGGATGGGGATTCATTATGACTCAAGGAAACACGATTAAACAATAATCTACCATTTTGTTTTATTTCAATCTATCTCTCTTATCATTTACAAACAGAAATTTTGGCGACCGACGGAAAATCAAACTGATACAACACCCAAACAAGCCCTAGTGAAGACGCAAACACCGGTAATGGTCCAAACATCCAAAGCAAAAGCGGTACAGAAACGCACATAACTCTATTCCCAACCATAGCCATAAAAGCCCCTCTCTCCAGCACCAATCTCGTATACTCTCTAAACGATTGCGTTCCCGTCAATTCATAACCGCAGCCGCAGTCTCCTTCATGTTTCTTAGCAATCGCGTTGATGAGGAAATTAGCGTCCATCAAGTAACTCACGGCAACCGAGCTGAAGAAGAAGCTTATAGCAAGAAGCAGCGAGGCAGTGGCATACTTGAGGACGAAGATTGTAGGGTTTTGTGAGCCTGAAACGATGTTGTTCGCTGTTGTGAAGAGGTTCCTCGCTTTAAAAGCGTTGTTAGTAACCGCAGCTAGGGAAAGGAAGGTAAGGATGGAGATTGTAGCGGTGAGAATTGTGACCATTTTCTTGTTTCTCAAGCTTTGTACCGCCAACATCCCAGTCTTATCGTCACCCTGTGTTTTCATTATTATGAACAAATTAAGGAGAAATGATTTATTAACAAAAAACGACAAAAGACATTTCGGACTTGATTGTTTTAAAAGCATAATTTCTGTAAAATAATGATTTTTGTAAACAAAAAATTCAAAAGTTATGTTTGTAGAATATAAACGCAAACGACAATTATTTCTTTACAACTTTTCAAAGAGATTATTTTTTACTAGAAAATAACACTACAAAAAGACATTTAGTTGGACGGTTTCGCATATTTTCTGGTGGATTTTGGACGATTTTTCGTCTGTCAGTTCTAGATGATTGGAAATTTATATTTGTTGATTTTATATTGTCGGAAATTTTAATATCCGCCAGAAACAACTTATAAGAGCAAGTGTTTTTTGTTTACCACGATTCCCAACAACGAAAGTTAAAAGAAAGAACCTCTTTGATGTCACGGAACCAAGATTTGCGTTTAGAGGAATCGATACCAAGAGAAGTACGAGAAGGATTGTGTTTGAAGGTGTTCCAGAGGAAGATATGGTATCCCACTGCTATGAACAAACTCAACGGCACTAAGATGCTGTCTGTCTCCACCTTCATTCTCATTTTCTTCTTTTTTTGTTTTTGTTTCAGCTTGGACTTACGAATACTAATTCGCAGTACCACAAAAATACGTTTATATAAAAGATAAAAAGTTAGTGTACAAATGGGATTCAGAGTCAGATATCAAACAAACATATAGTGGACATCTTCTCCATGTTTTGCCGGTGTTATTTGGATGTATACGCAACTACACATCTCAACATCTGACTATACACTCAACTTTTAACATTAACAACTATTATAAAAACACTATCTCAAGAAACAATGCTTTACTACTAGAATAGAGTTAAATCATGTTGCATATCAGCATATGAATAGTGGAATATAAAATATTGTAAAACTCTCGAAGAATTTAAATATCATAAATCAAATACATTGGAGGGGTACTCATCGCTAGATTCTTAGTTTTTAAAATGACACAATAATTAATTCTTTCTATTTAGGTAAGTTGTTGTTATTAGATGACACTAACTAGTGACCTATAAAATCTCTACGATAATATTTTACCTACCTAAACACTTAGATATCACTTATTTTCTAATCAAATTTTGTTGTGTAAGTTTTAATTTTCATAATGTAGCACTGTCGGTGCGGACTTGAAATTTTCTCAGTCTTAAAAACCACCGTACGTGAGATCTGAAGTGATGGCTACCAACAGCGACACATCAAACACTCGTGCCAATCTTCCCGGAGGAACAACGACTCTTAACACAACGCAGAAAACACATGTGGAAGCAATCACTCTTCAAAGCATGCTAACGGTGATGTCAAAGAAGCCGGAACAAGTGATCGATTTTGTATTGAGACGTTGAAAACGGAGAGCAGATCCCGAAGCCAGCGTTTCAGAGGCTTATGCTTGACGGTGAATCCGTTGTGAAGATTTAGGAGACTTGGCCTCAACCAAACGACGCTCAATTTCTCAACTCTGAGAACACACAACAGCGGACCAAGGACCTTGGGAGTTTTCCAATCACAATATGCACTCAGAGAACGGATTCCTGCGGTTACAAGACCAAATATCACCGAACCACCGCGACTAATCCAGAGAGGAACCAACAAGTGCAGGACCATGATAAGTATCATCCAAAGAATGTGATGACCTGGAGGCTGAGCTGGCAAGCTCAAGTGTGAATGTGAGTGGAGTAGAGAGAGTTTATTAAAAGAATTATTGTTGTAATCAGAATCTGTGTATGTGCGGTTCTCGTTGATCGTATATGATCTTGAGTTCTTCTGTAATTCTCCTTGATTCATTCTATACAATTCATGTTACATTCAGAGTATCGAGATTAAGACTCTAACAATTGGTGCGGTGAAACTGAGCGAATCCAACGCGACGATGGCTACTCGAGGAGCCGTGACGATGATGACTGAAGCGAGTAATGAAATTGACGCGTTATTCATCCATGAACATTGGCGGCTGAGCAAATCGGAGGTTCAACATGCGGCGATACCAAATCGAGCGATGGCAAAAATTCCAATGTCTCTGGCGATGAAAGTGGGCGGATCTAACGCAAAGGAAGACAAAGTGGCGATGATGACCAAAGCTTCACCGGCGAATACCTCCGACGACAAATACATTAAACCGGAATCAATGCAGCGAGACCAAATTTTGCTTCCTCCATGATGGATTGGCATGATTTTCTGCAATTTATGAGAAGCTTCCGACAGTAATGGTGATGGAACAAAATCCTGGAACTCGAGTCATACCAGAATCTTCTCAAGCTCAATGTCAAAACTCAGAAATCTGGGAACAAAAAAAGATTGATTCTCCGCTAGGTTATCGACATGGTGTTTTGAATGTGAGAAATCACGATAGTGTGATACCAAAAATCGAAATGCCTCGGTTTGATGGAAAGAATTCAGTTTGTTGGATTGAGAATGTGGAAAGATTCTTCACAAAAGATGGTTATGATGATGATGAGAAATTAGAAATGGTTGCCTTGAGTGTGGAAGGAAGAGTTAAAAAGTGGTTTGCTTGGGAATGGAAGAGGAAAGCTTTTCGAGATTGGACTAGCTTCAAAGAAAAGTTGATTTTGAAGTTTGCAGAATCAAGCAGAGAAGTTGTGTCTGAGACAGAAGCGATGCAGTCCACAAACTCATCAATGGAAGAAACTACTGAGATATCTGTTAAATAAAATGTCGAGATGTCTTCAAACGGGAATGATATTTCAAGCATAGAAGTTATCCTTGAGGAAGAAGGGGTGAGTTGTGACAATAAATCGATTGTTACGTCAGAGTTGCAAAATAAGAGCTACTCACCCATTGTGGAAGAAGCTAATGCAAAGTCTGAAGCAATGTTGGAGAGTGTGACAAGTCCTGGACCAAGTTCTCTGAATACGCCTTCTAAGCTAGGTCAAGAACCAATGTAGATTATAGAAGTGATCGAAATCCAGAAGGATGATACAAAGGTCAAAATGATTGAGGCATCCGAGTCAAGAGAAAAAGAATTATTTCAGGAAGATCACTCAGTATCGATTTCACTTGAAGGATTGACATAAGTACAAGTAATTCCAAAATCCCTGTCCTTATACGATCCTTCAACTATTAAGAAGAAGTCAGAGTTACACCCGATGTTCGACAAAATGCTACAAAAAAGACACAAACATGGAAAGCGGAAGATGCGTTTGTCACTGAAGTCTTGGATCTTTAAATACAAATCTGGATATGAGCATGTCAAAACATATCAATAATTGTTGCAGAAGTGGAATTTTTATAGTTTAGTGACGTATGTTAACGATTGTGGCGATCATTTTTGGCTGAAGGAGTCATCCCTGTGTCTTGTCTCGACCAGCAAGTTTGATGATGGTGATATAAACAAGCTGGTGAATTTACTTTGTTTTGTGATTGGTGTACTATTTGTGAAGAAAAAAAGGTTCAAAAGGGGATATTTGCAAAAAATTGGTGGTTTAAGTTCAAATTCAAGAGTACACTGTCTCAACTTCTCTAGTTGAGGTTGCAAAACATTGATATGCCTCAATTTCGATGGGAAGTGATGGTTTGTGCCAACAAACAGCTGTTTCTTATGGTTTCTTATATATTCTTAGCACGATGGACCAGTAAGTGCAAAATGAGGATGAGGCAAAAATCATGGAACATGAGACGATTTATCTTTGATGTTGTAGCAAAGCAGCATGTTCAGCTTGGTTGTAAATGGGTGCTAATTGCTCTGGTGTTGACCATTCAACATAGAAGCTTGACGACATTCACAGTGATTTGTCGAATTCAGGAAGCGAATTCAGACCTTATGTTGTGGAGCTCTAAACAGAAGGAGCTGCAGCACACTTCCTGTCACATAATAATCCACAAAGGGACACTTGTTTTGCTGAAGCAACGGTGCTATAAGAAAAAAGTTTTTTAAATCAAGAAAATTCAAATACAAACCCAGAAATCTGCAGCAACTTCGGCATCATACTGAACAGCTTACAGTCATGTACGTGACACAAGGATTTGTATGGGATTATAGAGGACAGCTGAAGTTAGGCTTAGTCATTGTGGAGAGATAGAACTTCATGAACCTGACACAACTCATCCAGCAAACGAAGTATGCACTGATCACAAAGATACAAGAAAGTTCTCTACAGGGGTTGATGTGGAAATTACGGAAGTGTACAAACAGGGAAGAAGAAGCTTTGCCGGGAAAAGAAACGTGTCTACTTGAATATCTGAGAGAACATAGGTGTCAATGTGAAGTGAACAAGTTTGCAGGAGATTGATAAGCATATGAACCAAGAGAATCTACACTTGTTGCTGAAACAAAAGGCAAGCTATTACCTAAGTTTTTCACATCAAGCTTGAGGGCAAGCTTGTTTTCAAAGGGGAAAGTATTGATAAGTATCATCCAAAGAATGTGATGACCTGGAGGCTGAGCTGGCAAGCTCAAGTGTGAATTCGAGTGGAGTATAAAGTAAAGTGTGTGATATAAATAAGATTTCGCAAGTGTAGAAAAGGTTTATCAAAAGAATTATTGTTGTAATCAGAATCTGCATATGTGCGGTTCTCATTGATCGTATTTGATCATCAATCAAGATTGTATGTGATCTTGAGTTCTTCTGTAATTCTCTTTGATTCATTCTATACAATTCATGTTACATTCAGAGTATCGAGATCAAGACTCTAACAGACCATCGAGCAGATAATGGATTAGGTGTGGACTTTGATGGACTGATTGCCGAAGGAGGCTGATACGAAGAAGTGTAACACAGTACCATAATCAAGCTGATTATACCCTCGCCTCGGCTTGGAGAGCAATTACTGCTGAATAGGAGCTGGGCTCGGAACAAAACAACCTTTAATGGAGGAAGAAGAAAATCTCTTGTGGGTCGAACAAGTGCAATATTCTGAAGATCCCAGAGTAATGAGCCAAGGCGATGGACTTACGAAATCTAGGCTACTTTGGCTCGGTCAACTGCCAAGGTGAGAGTCATTCAATCACAAGTGAACAAGGCGATCAGAGCAACATCGGAGATAGATCTCATGGTGGAAGAGTGGGATATGTATAAATGTATACTCCCACACTTCATAACGCGATCTTTTGCAAAACTTAATGCTTTTACGTTAATACTCATAACCTCGTTTGTTGTTGGTCACAACACATGAACTCTTACATATAATACGGATTTACGAATTCTAATACATTCTCTATGGATATAAACATGCTATATAAATTATGACTGAGTACATCTTGATCAAATATATGTCGGATATTTTTAACCGATATTCTTCTATTTACTATCCGAACGGGTATGTTAGTGGAGAGCATATACGTAAACTGAAGCCAAACATTCTAAACTAAGTCACAACTCGTTATTAAACAACTATGATCTTCAACATCTCAAAAACATAATGATTAACATATATATATGAGATACCTATGAGATATCTAAATGCATTTGATCCAAAACCCAATATTCACACGGTTCTTGACACAATGATCTTTAGTATTTTAAGACATAACATTAAAACACATTATCAACATTCAGCAGAATGGCTCGGCAAACCATGAAAGGTTCTGAAATCAACTCAGAAATGGAAGAATGGTTTGGAAGCAAGAGAATGACTCGAAACACATTATATATCAGACAAATCATTATT